TGGGGAGAATGAAAAACCATAGTCAAGAAGCTCTATGCCCTTAGAATACACAGGCCCTCGATCACAGACAAGTAGGAAGCATGTGTCTAAGAACAGAAACAAAGAAAAGGACAGTGAGGTGTCCAAAATAAAAGCTGCCTACTCTTGACATTTCCGTACACTGGTTCTGTCCTCTTTTCTTTCTAAAGGTCAAATAGGAAGACTATCAGACTATCATTTCCCCAAGAAACAACAGCTACCAGTTACTTATCGGTACTAGACCCTCCCTGCAACACACTGCACCTTAAGTAGGTAACCTAGTGGAGGAGGGGCAAGCCGGCTTCCAGAGTCATAGCCTACAGTAGACCCCCTTATCTGTGAGGGGTGAATGCCTGAAACCAAAGATAGTACTGAACTCCACATATACTATGTTTTTTCCCCTATATCCTAACCCTAACCCCAACCCCAACCTTAACCATTTCACTTAAAGAAAGCACTCCACAGCTTGTCTTTGGTATAACTGAACTGTCAGCATCACTACTCTTGCGCTTAGGGGCCACTGTAAAATAAGGGTGATGAACACAAGCACTGCAATACCCCAACAGCCAGTCTGATCACCAATAAGGCTACTAAGTGGCTAATGGCTGGAGCACATACAGCGTGGATATACTGGACAAAGGCAGGAAGAAGCAAGACGGCCCAAGATTTCATCACACTCCAAAGAATGACACATAATTTAAGATCTATGAATTGTTTATTTCTAGAATTTTCCATTTAACATTTTCAGACCACAATAGACCACAGGTAACTGAAACCACGGAAAGCGAAACTGAGGAACAAGTGGAGGACTACCATTACCAATTGGGAGAAGTATCCCCCAGCTCCCCTGATTCTACCTAACCTCTCTTGAGAAGTTACATCTCCTTCCCCTTCCTGGTCCATCCGCCCCAGAGACCCAGCTCCGTGGTAAAAGGCACAGAAACCTGGAGAACATGGATTTCCATTCCGGAGGGGAATGGTCATGCTGTGTGTGTGCGCAGACCTGTAGCACTGTCGAGGGGCATAGGAGCAGGCACTGACATGGCCGCCTTCTGTCCCCACTGGAGACAGGTCACACACAGAAGCACACAACAGTGGCATCACATCAGATCACCTGGAGCCCTTGGCAGCAGGAATATTAACTCAATACTTGTATCTCATTAATACATGGTTTTGTATCTTTGACAATACCTAGTTATCATAGATACATGGGGTTGTTTCAATTATACAGGCAAACAGCAAGCATTTGCATCTCAACACTAGTTCTATTATAAGCCTATTGAAATAAATTTAGCAATTTTTAAAGCAACACAATGAGAAACTAAATACAAGACAAAGTTTGCTGAGGTCATTTTCTTTGGAAACTTAAAGAAGTAAAAGGTTAGGTTTATTAGACCTATCTTTAATCAAGTAGGTTAAATAGGCATTGTATTTACTAATTTGGTTATTAATTTAAGAACTCTAGCTGATTCAATTTCCCAGTTATACATGAGATTCTGTCTCTCTATTCCAGTGTCAGGAAAGATATCTCTTCAAATAAATAAAAATACATTTTCTAACAGCTTTAAACTTCCTTATACATTTTAATTTAAATAAATGTTTATAACCTTAAATCCATGAAACTTTCTTTCCAATGAAGATTTACTTTGCTCTGAGTAAAAAACAGAAGTACCAATTTACTAAATGATCAATGCTAATTTTTAAAAAAATCCAAATACTTTCAATCCTCCAAAATTGGAGGAGATGGAAAGAATGTTCACTTTCCAAATGAAAATCTCATAACACAAACATTCTCCCATCAAATTCATCAGTAGGACTCCCACCCACTGGCACTGAAAGGCTGTGATCCCACAAGCAAGAGCCATACCCGTGTGCATGCACTCATGTGAAAATATCACACACACTAAATTGCACTGAGGCCGTGAAACATGCAACTTAGTAATGTGCAATATCTCCACCAGAGCAAGCAGAATGGGAGCATCAGGGAAGAGGGTATGATGCAAACATTCAGAACACAACATGCTCTAAGGGGAAGAAAATGGTTTGGGAATGAAGGATGCATGCCACTGACCCAAAAATTCATGAAATGAAAACCCAACCACAAATGTATTAATTTAGAATACTTATTCAGAATTGCAAATAACAAATAAGGTTCAAAACTTCAATGAGACAGTGATTAGAAAGTGGCCATATATTCCAAAAGGCAAACCCTGAAGAACAAAGACATTTTCACTGTCTGGTCATGCAGTTAACTCCCAATTTCAGGTCCACTTTTAACTTATTAATGGACCATATGAAATGAGTTTAATGACTGCCTTAACTGCAACATCAAGGATGACTAATGACTGATGCTTATAAAATCTGATATCACTGATAATTTTCAGACTAAACTACACTCTCGGGACATTATAATAATATTTTCATAATCATTTGTATAATGTTTTTCCTCTTAAAATGTTTCTCCACGACGACACGTTTCCTCTTGAACACAATCCTTCAGCATGAAAAGTCTGAGAGCTCTTGGAACCAGAAACCACTGCTCTCATAGATGAGAAGGTTCTTCAGAGGCAGCTGTAAACCTGTACATTCTGATTTAAGTCTTGAATTCGACCCAGTAAAAAAAAAAAAAAAAAAGACCAAAAACACTTAGGCTGCTAAAAATCATCCTGAATTACAACCCTTAATGTATATAAGTTGATACAGCTCTGGTTAGAAAAACGCCCCGGCTTTAACAAGCTCTCTAGTCTGTGCCATTATTTTCACTCACAAAAACCTGTCAGTTTTCAGAACCATTAAGATTATAATTCTGGTACTAAGTATTGTTAATATTTTTTCCTGTATTAAAAATAAGATGATAAAATGAAGGGGTTTTGTCCAAGTGTACTCTGGATCCCAGACACGGGCCACTGTTAGAGTGCATGAATACTGCGTGCAAACCAAGACCACGAGGCACGTCCAATTTGTAGGAAGACACTGATTTCCTCGAGCTCTGTAGATGACCACTCTTTTCATCTCAAATCCCCTCCTGAGCCAAACCCTGAAATTTTAGCCATCAGCTTCACGTGGCCATCTGAACAGTCTTAACAGAACCACGAATTTAACTCGTGATCTTCTTCCCAACCAGCTCCTCCCCGAACACCAGAAAGATAAGGCGCCTTCGTCATCCTAGGTGCGCTCCACAGCTCTGTTCACCAGCTCCAAGCAACCAGGACAGTCAAGAATTCAGTTTAAAACAAAGGATAACTTGGTTTTCATGGAAAAAAGGTGACTCAATGACCAACATTCAGAGGATGGCCAGCAAGTGGTTCATTCTAAGAACATAGAACAAGAGAAAATTTAAAAAACTGAGATTTGAAGATAGAAAAACTTTTGTGAGAATAAGGCTCAGTGCTAATCAAGATTACTTTAGGAAAATAAAGTATCATATTTCTTGAAGTTCTTCACGGACAAGGTAAATGTTTTTCTATAAAGCTTGGCTTACGTCACACTGACCTGCCAGGCTTTGAGATGATTGACTCAACAGCTTTATTCTACTAGGAAGACAGAAGGTTATTTTCCTTTTGGTAGTTTTTTGGAGTCAGATACATGTTACTTAGATAAACTGAAGTTAATCTATTGCTAGAGTTGTCATCATTCACTGCCTCCATAAAGATGATAACCAACAGTCATACAGGCTTAGAAGGCACGGGGAAGCCAGTAAGCTCTTCCTGAGGACAGCTTCATCCTGAAAGCTCCTAAGCTTGGAATCTTTACATGGATGGTCCCACACGGATACCAAACAGCACCATAGTAGATAAGAACTTCTATTTTAATTCCAAAATAAAATAACTGACCTCTAATCAAGGAAGCAAGATACTGATGAAGACCTTATGCAGGTCTTGCTAATAGGAAAAAGGAAAAAAACCTACCAAAGATTCCTGAGAGAAAACATTTAAGGAACATTCATCCTATTTAAATGTAAGAGGGTTTTCCAGAGATCAAAGGGGTATCTTCACCAGCTGGTACATGAACAGTGTTAAAAAATAAGCCTCGCTCATGGAGACAGGATTATCAGGTCAAATTAAGACTTCTGCAGAAGACTGGTTCCATGCAAAGGTATTTTTTACAAATATGTGGAAACAGAAATGTCAGCCAAGGATTCACTATTCAAGAGAAACTTACAACCACCTGGCTATCAACTTATCAGAAGAAGGAGCTCTAATGACAACATGAGAATTTAGTATGTGTAGCTATTCCTAAAAAGTAAAAATGTGAGTGTTAATGACAAATTCAGAGCAATGAGGAACAAGGCCAGGGCTTCAAAAGGCCTCTCCCTACTGGAAATGAGGAAGAGGAAAAAGAAAAGGGGGACAGGAGCCTGTGACCTGGAATGAGCATAAGAAGAATAAATGTTGAAGAATCACCTCATTCAGAAACCAAGCCTGTAATACATGGATCCCAGAAAACATGATGGAAGTTTCTGGCCAGAACCTGCAATGCACACAGAGATATTGAGTTAAAGATAACCGAAAACCTTTCATCGCCAGTATCCAACCTATCCTCTGGCAGAAGGCACAGCCTGGTTTCGGAGGGAGAGAGGAAGGAACAGGAGGCCACCTGCTCCCTCCCCGAGCACAGCTGAAACTTCTGAAAACAAAGGAGGGTTCTGAGAGAAAGTGAGGTCAGTGTACGTGTGAGCAAGTGACATGATGATCAGGAGCTGGAGCAAGAGCCTGGGGAGAAAAGCCAATGGGGACAGGACATTAAATCTTTGTAAATCACCGGCTTGAGAGTAGGATAGTGAAACTGTTCTGAATTTTTTTCTTATCAACATTTTCACAGCTTACAGTTATTATCCTCACAAAAGGAAATAAGATTATTTTGAAGATACCAGTTCCTTCACTAGTTTAATGCTGAACATTACTTGAAGGCTCAAGACAGAAAATGGGCTTCTCATGGAAAGAAGTGTCTGAAGGAAAGAAGAACCTAAATCGTACCCCTACCTGATAGCTTCTTCCACAGACTGGCCAATAATATTAGAAGAAGGACCTGGCTGAGACAGTGGTGTCAGGCTTATCACCCACTTCACTGGCTTGTAGTACTCATCGCTGGAACTTAACAGATAAAATAGTGTGGTCAGGAAAATTATCTGCAAAACAAAGGACAGTATCTCCTAAAAAATCAAATTCGGAAACGACAGGAATAAAACACAAACGGCACCAAGAACGTGCTTCACTGCGGAAGGAAACGTGATGTGTTCTCACCCACACGTACATACCAGAGAGAGCACGAAGTTGAGAAGGGCCGTCCCGCTGTAGAAGAGGATGGTCAGGAGCGTGGTGACAGTGGTGAAGAGCAGGCTCACGTTCCGGCTCATGACAATCCACAGAGACTCTAAGATCTGAGAGGAGGAAAAGTTGACTGTCAGAACTAATCCTCGGCAAAGGAGTTTCTACAGGTATATAGTGTGCTTTTAATACAGCACCAAAAACTGAAAAGACAAGAACAGAGTATTATTTTAAATGAAAAAAAAAAAAATCTGAATATTGATTAGTAAAGAAAATGATTAAATAAATTATGGTAAAGCTACTCCAAATAATATTAGGCAACCATTAAAAATGTCTCTATTATGCCCTGGCCGGTTTGGCTCAGCAGTTAGAGCATCAGCCCTCAGACCAAAGGGTCTCAGGTTCAATTCCCGCTCAAGGGCACATACCTGGGTTGCAGGTTCAATCCCCAGCCCTGGTCAGGGTCATGTGGGAGGCAACCAATCAGTGTGTCTCTCTCACATTGATGTTTCTCTCCCTCCCACCCTCCCTCCCTTCCACTCTATCTAAAAACAAATGGAAAAATAACCTCAGGTGAGGATCAACAAAATAAATAAATAAATAAAACCATCTGTATTATGATATAATGCTAAGTTTAAAAAGCAGGACAGGAACATTTTACATATAGCATAATTATAACTATGCAAGAATGGTATGCACAGAAAATAAATACCTATAGGAGAGTATGTCAAAATGCAACGTGTGGATATACTTAGCTTGTAGGCTCACAGGTGCAGGTCATGGAAATCTAGCATGTGTCTTATTAGTTTCCTCCTCCCTTGTCACCTTCAACTTAGCTTCATCTACAACTACCAAAGCATCTTCACTAAAGTCACAATAAAGGAAAGGAAGGGACAGGGTCAAAGGCAGAGCTCTGCAGCTAAAAACTGTTCCTCACATAGACAGTGACCCTTATATGAAAACTGACTGAGTTCAGTAGATCACCTGCAAATTTACTAGAACCAGATATTAAAGTAAAGGTTATTAATATATGTTAAGTATTGCTAAAGGAAGATGTATATTACCTATAGCACACCTGCATATCTTCATTTCCTATTTCTTCATAAACTTAAAGTCCCTTATGATAATGTCTGTGCTATTCACCCCAAGTAATGAACAATATGGAAGCAAAATTATAAAAAAAATTTTTTCCCTTAGTTTTCAAAATGCTTCCACAAACCACAACACTGTAAGGGAAGAAATGCAGGTGATACCATCTTTATTTTGTAGATACGCAAACTGATGTTCAGAGGTTTTTAAAAACTTGCCCAAGGGCAGACAGCTCATACGTGGAACTAGAGCCGGGACCAGAACTCATAATGTCTGATTTTATTTTGGTTCCCTTTCCAAAACAGCAGTTCTGTTTTTTGTCATATGTTCAAGTTACACCATCTGTGCTATGAAAGGCCTACCCATGCCTTCCCTACTTCAAATGTACCATTTATAAAAGCACTTTTTGTTGTCCTCGGCATTTCTTGCAAACCTCAGCTCAGTCTTCATAAGAGAACTTTGGCAGGCTGGTTTCATTTACAAAAACTCCTTACATAAAATCCTGAAAATGTTTCACAATGCCTACAAAAATATGCATGATTGACTGTTTGACCCTGTGGGGTAAAGGAATAAATGAATAATGGCACTGATTCCAAAAAACAAACCAACAATGCCCTTACTTGTGATTTTGACAAGCATTCTTTTGGGGGCCTCAATCATCTTGGAATTTTTATCAAAAAAATTTTTTTTGAATTTTTTTGAATAGTTTCTGGGTCATACTGATAGAAAATGCCCTGTGGTCATTCTTAAGAAATTAACTGAATTCATTAATTGTACACTGGTAGTCCCCAAGGTCAAGTAACCTTTCTGTGTACTCAAAGGGATTAGGAAGGAATATTTAGAATATAAGAAAGAGTTGTTGGGCATTACAAGTATGGTGGCAGAAATAAATAAATTGAATTTCAAACTGTTATAGCTCTAGCAGGTGAATGGGAGGAATGGAAAGTGTGAGTGCAAGAATGGAGGGAGCAACCAAAGGAATTATAAGAAACCCCCACAGGAAGGGTAGGAGAGCACTGAGGGACTTGTAAGAAAGTCACATCTTTACCTTCATCTCCTATATTAGAAAGTCAAAGATAATATCTAACATTGCAAAACCGAGAAAGAGCAGCATAAACATATTTTAGAAACTGAGAGGTAAATGCACAGAAAGAGCTAAACTTGAGGTGGTGAACACACAATACAACATAAAGATGCTGTATTACAGAACTGTACACCTGAAGCCTGTATAATTTTATTAACCAATGTCACCCAAAAAAATTCAATAAATAAATTAAAAAATAAAAATAAAATAGCATAAAAGAATTGACAGCTATTTCTAGAGAATAAGAATGAAGTGGAGAAGCACAGAGTTGGGCATTGCTATCTTTTTAAAATTTTAAATCTTAAAGCAATTTTTACTTTTCAGCTATGGTCATCTATTATTTTGAGAAAAATTAAATTTAAAAAAATCTAGCATTGCAAATCTCGACTTTTGTTAACTTGATGCAAGTCCCAAATTTATTCACAATAACGTTCTTCTCATCTCTGTGAAAAGCCACAGGCTGAGACACCCCACAAAGTACAGTACGAAACAAAGAGCGGTCATCAAAACTTATCAACACTACTAGCTATTCCTTACCCCACTTTTATCCTTTGTAAAAAAAAAAAAAAGGCAGAGGTGGATGGTGCATGGGGGAGAAAACAGTATTCCCATCTGCCAAAGGGTTTTGCCCACCAGAAAGGCAGCTCCCTCTCCAGGGGTCCAGCTGGGGACGTCCTGGTCCGCTTATGGTGACGAGGATACCTAGCTCAGAATCTGAGAGCCGCAGCGTTGTGCACATGCTTCCTGATTCAGCATCTCCTAGTTGCTTTCCAGGCATCAGGGCAGCTACACCTGAGGTCTACAGCTTTTGGACATCTTTCTGGTGCATTTAGAATTTTTGAAATTGCACATTGTGCCACTAAAAACAGGGTAACTAAAGATCTTTAAGTGAGAAAAGAAGACTGAAAATTAGTTTTTGTTTTCACTTCTAAGTCCAGTTTAACTATAAATACTATTTCTTACAGAAAGAAATGTTTCAATGTTCTCGTGGATAAATGAAGCGATATCTTGCCAGTCCAGAATGTCTCCCAGCCAGCTATTCTGACGACTTATATGCATCTTGTGTCCTTTGTGCCGTCCAGAATGTGTTACATTCTATGGAATAAAACAGTTCAGACATGAAATCTCCGTCTCAACCTAAAGAATAGAAAGTATAAATAACCTATTTTGTTTTAGGTCCACCTGAGCACTTTAGTAAATATACAAAAGTGAAAAACCTTGCATTATTTAAGAAATCAATTAAGTACTCCACCTAAAGCCCCCAAAGATATTTTTCTGTTTACATGCTAGTTACTGAGTCTCAGCCAAGCTCAAGTGCTTCCCTCCTAAGTACATTTGAGAACACACTTTATTCTTCAGTGTATTCAACTGTACACAAACACGCACTTACTTTCATTTCTCCCCCCCCTTTTTATTTATTTTTTATTTTTATTTTTATTTATTTATTTATTTTTTTTATCCTCACCCAAGGACATTTTCCCATTTTTTTGTTCAGGTAGAGTGGGAGGGAGAGAGAGAAACAGAGAGAGAGAGAGAAACATCGATGTGAAAGGAACACATCGAGTGGCTGCCACCCGCACGACCAACCAGGGCCGGGGACAAACTGCAACCGAGGTACGCGCCCATAGCGGGAACCGAATCCGGGTCTCTCAGGACCGCAGACCGACGCTCTAACCGCTGAGCCAAACCGGCCAGGGCTCCCCCCCCCCCTTTTTAATCCCTCTACCTTTTTCTTGGTCTCTCATTTTTGTTTTTTTCCTCATTTCCTTGTCTCCCTTATTAACCTTCTGCACAATATAAAGAGAGAAGAGGGGAGAGAAGAATATGAAAAAGTTCACCTAAAACTAATACAATGTTATGTGTCAAGTATATCTCAATAAAACAGGAAAAGAATATGAAAAAGAAACAAAGGTAATCTAACTTGTCTATCTGGAAGAAAATTACATTGGCAGAAATAACTAGATTTGAAAGAGATATGAACAGACAATTTCACCTATTTATTTTTGCTTTGGTAATGGGGCCACTAGAATAATTAACATTAGGTGTCTTGCATTACATTTCTCCTGCAGAGCTGGTCTAGACGATGAAATGCTGTGGATGACGACAAACAGAAGATGGAATACTGATACACCAGAAGGACTGGTGAATTCTGCCGTGGAGATGAACCATTAATCACTCTGACTTTTAGTGACCTAAGGTTTAAGACCCTGCAGCTCAAAAACTTCAATAAATGAAATTCCAGTCTGATCACTGGGTCTACAAAATAAAAGGACTTAATTAGCTGACAATTGAAATCCATAGAAATAACTTACCTTTACAAACCAAGAATGATACAGTCTGTCCCAAAGTTCTAATACCTGTTTTTCAATCACAGCGGTATTGTTCACCTTATCTCCAAGAATTTTATGAAGCTGGAAGAAATACAGATATAATCTAGTTTAATATTTCAGGCAATAACCCAGTGAAATGAATATGCTGGGTCTTTACATTTGTTCCAAGTCAAACTGAAATGTCCCAGACTATTTAATTGCCTCTAGCCACATTATGTTCTTTTCATAAACTTTGTTCCTCTACATTCCCAGTAAATTTCCTCTCTCTCATTTTTTGCTTCTTTTTTCATTCCTCTATCCTTAGATCTCAAGGAGAGCTACTTTGGGCTGTAAAAGAATGGAACAAATAGAGCCATGACTACAGACTTGTCTGATCATATCTTCCCAGAGAAAAATTTTTCCACGTGACCCCAGGGCCCACCCATTATACAGAAGTCTCATGTCACATTTATCACTATTATTAGGAATTACCACAGAATTTTGACATTTTAGAACCTTAGCTATAAATGCAAATATTTTTGTTAGTTTGCTGAGAGATGTCAGGTCTCAGAGTTATGACTGATCAGACTGGCTTTAGGATGTGTGGGAATCGAGTACATTTGAGACAGAGTAAGGTCATTCATTACAATATCTGAAATCCCACATTTTATGTATTATTAAAACCATACGCCCTAGCTGGTTTGGCTCAGCAGTTAGAGCATCGGCCGGCCCGCAGACCAAAGGGTCACAGTTTCAACTCCCAGGGAAGGTACAAGTAACTAGGTTGCAGGTTCAATCTTCAGCCCCCAAGTTGGGGTCATGTGGGGAGGCAACCAATGGATGTGTCTCTCTCAGCTTGATGTTTCTCTCTCTCCCCCTCCCTCCTTTCCACTTTATTTAAAAATCAATGGAAAGCCCTGGCCAGTTTTGCTCAGCGGTTAGAGCATTGGCCTGCGGTCCAGAGAGACCCGGGTTCAGTTCCCGCTAAGGGCACGTACCTCGGTTGCAGTTTGTCCCCGACCCTGGTTGGGTTGTGCGGGTGGCAGCCACTCGATGTGTCCCTTTCACGTCGATGTTTCTCTCTCTCTTCCTCCCTCCCTCCCTCCCTCCCATTCTATCTGAACAAAAAATGAAAAAATAAAAAAATAAAAAATAAATAAATAAAAAAAATCAATGGAAAAATATCCTTGGGTGAAGATTAAAAATAAACAACAACAACAACCATATGGTAATATTAAAGATACTTTTAAAAGGAAAATTACTGATGTGTAGTCTCACTTGCCTTAATAAAATTGGCAACCTCATTTCCTTTGCAACTTTCTGCCTTGTTTACATAAACATAATTTAGAATTCTGTATTTTTTTTTATATCATAAACATTTCATATTTAGGCTTCATCACTAACCTTCACCTTTACTTTTAATGGTTTCATATTAGTTCATTAAGTTTTGATATTATTTAATCATCACCAAATCACAGGACATATAGATGGTCCCCAATTTTCATGTCACAAATAACACTGCAATGAACATCCTTATACACAATATTTCCATATTTCTAACAGTAAGATAAATGTGCAGGAATCAAAGGCAATGAGCATTTCTAATGGTTCTTACTATACATCATTAAATTGTTTTCTATAAGGATCATACCAATTTCTATTTTCCAACATTGTATAAATAAACCGATTTTCCAAAAGCCTTATGGATAACCGATACATTTCAGATAAGTTAACAGATGTGAAATGGTAACTAATTATTTATACTTTTCCTTTTGGGTGACGAGAAGGACGCTTTTCCATTTTAGCTTTCTATGTGCATTTCCCTTTGTGTGGCTTACGCATACCTTTCGCCCACTTGGCCTTATAGATACTTAAACCAGTTCTTACACATGTTTGATGCAAACATATCTGCCCGATGTTTTCCTTTATATTTATTTTATTTATTCATAAAATACAAATCAGTAAGTATCAAAGCCATTTATCTTTTCATCGCATTTTACAATTTACAAATGATTTGCACCTACATTATGTGATCTTTACAACAACTCATGAGTTAGATAGAAAATAGTTTTGTCACCCTGGCCGGTGTGGCTCAGCGGTTAGAGCATCGGCCTGTGGTCCAGAGAGACCTGGGTTCGGTTTCCGCTAAGGGCGCGTACCTCGGTTGTGGTTTGTCCCTGGCCCTGGTTGGTTGTGCAGGTGGCAGCCACTCGATGTGTCCCTTTCACGTAGATGTTTCTCTCTCTCTCTTCCTCTCTCTCCCTCCCTCTCTATCTGAACAAAAAATGGAAAAATGTCCTTGGGTGAGGATAAAAAAAAAAAAAAGAAAGAAAGAAAATAGTTTTGTCATACCTTTGTTCTTTTGAGAAAACAGATTTAGAAAGAATCTATGTCAGTCCCAGGGTCATGCAGACAAGCAGCAGAGTTGGAATTAAAAGTTCTCTGTTCTTTCAACTCGAGCCTATATAACCTATGAAGAACACCTAATAGGGCAAATTACCCCAAATAATTAAAAAACACAATTATCCCCAGTCTAACTTCCTTTAGTTTCTTTAAATTTGTCTTTTCTATATTATGACTGTCAAATACTCACAGACTTCCTATAAGCAATTATTTCTGTCATTTTCCTATCAGCTTCTGAAATCTCCCTTTAAGCAGAAAGGCCTAGACTTGAGGTCACCGACCGCCTCTTTTCTAAATAATCTGCACAGTGGCCTTCATTGCAATAAAGCACCATTAACAACAGACATTTCCTTTAACAGTCTCACTCCTAGCACAACAGCGAATGGTTAAAATACCACAACTGTAACAATAAAGGGGAGTTCAGCATGTATTAAAACTGGAAAGATAAGGAAATTCGTAAAAAAAATAAAATAAAATAAAACTGGAAAGACTAGGCCAGAGAGCATGAATCTAAAGAACAGATCACTGCTCTTAAAAGAATCACTAATGCATACATTCTTGGTGATATATGACATGCTCTCTGCATATGAAAAACAATAAAGCATTAAGTGCAGTCAAAATGCCATTTGAGAACTGACTTAAGGCGAAGCTTCGGCAGCATCTGCCATAGCTGACCTCGTCTTTTTGAAACATTTTCTTCTCTAGGACCCTGCAACACACAGTGTGGTTCTCCTCCTACCCCACAGGCTACTCCTCCTCAGTCTTCTTTGTCATTGAGAACCTTAAGTGTTCATGTGTCTATCTTTGATCCTTCCATTGATACTCTCTCCTTGGGCCATTATTATGGGCTGAATTGTGTCTCCCTCCCAATATTCATGTGTTGAAATCCGAACCCCCAGTACCCTAGAATGTGATTATTTACAGATTGGGTCTTCAGAGAAATAAATAACATAAAATAATGTCATTAGAGTGAACCCTCATCCAACATGACTGGTGTCCTTATTGAAGAAAGAAAAAGATTATGACACAGACATACTCAGAAGACCATGTGAAGACACAGGACATCTACACGCCACGGAAGAAGGCCTCAGAAGAAACCAAACCTGCTAACACCCTGATGTTGGACTTCTAGCCTCCAGAATTGTGAGAAAATAAAGTTCTGTCTTAAAGCCACCCAGTCTTCGGTACTTCAGGATGGCAGCCATAGAGAACTAAATGCAGGCACCTTACCCAATCCTATGAATACCAGCTGATGATACACAGACCTCCATCTATAGCCCAGATCTTTCTTCTGGGCTCCAGCTATGTATGTTCAGTTACCTTTTGTGATACCTCTACTTAAATATCTAGTAGGTATTTCAAACTTAATACACCCCAAGCAGAATTACTGGTCTCTCTGCAACACTTATACCCCCATTACCACCTCAAAGTTCTTCCATCTCAGTAAGTGGCACAGCTACCCTTCTAGTTTGGCAAACCAAAATCTCCCTTCCCTTTCACTCCATGAGTAATTCCACATGGAGTTTTGAGGTCAGAACAACCTCAAAAATATGCCTAGTATGATCATCTCAGTTTCTACTTCTACAATCCTTGTCCAAATCATCAACATCTCACCAGGACTACTGGAAAACAATCTTTCTTTTTTACCCTCACCCGAATTTATCTTCAGATAGAGCGGGGGGTGAGGGGGAGAGAAACATCGACGTGAGAAACATCAAGTGGCTGCCACCCACTGGGGCCAGGGACAAACTGCAACCGAGATACATGCCCTTAGCAGGAACCGAATCCAGAACTCTCCAATCCGTGGGCCGACGCTCTAACCACTGAGCCAGACTGGCCAGGGCTAGATAACAATCTTTTTTGTTGTTGTTAATCCTCAACAGAGGATATTTTTCCATTAACTTGTTAGAGAGAGTGGAAGAGAGAGAGGGAGAGAGAGAAATATCAATGTGAGAGAGACACATCGATTAGTTGCCTCCCACACAACCCCGACTGGGGTCGGAAATCAAACCTGCAACCCAGGTATGTGCCCTTGATCAGAATCGAACCCCCAACTCTTTGGTCCACAGGCAAATGCTCTAACCTCTGAGCCAGACAAGCCAGAGCTGGAATAAGAATCTTTTTACTGGTCTCCCTGCCTTCTCCATTCTTGCCACCTTCTCCATAAACCAGCCAAAAGGAGCTTTCAGCATCGTACATGAGGTCATCTCCCTTTCTGTTTTAAACCCATAAAATGTTTACTTTGTAATTAAAATGGCTTGTCCCATCACCACATTCCCTATTCCAGCCACACTGGCCTTCCTTCCTTTTCCCTTCAACCAAGCTTGTTCCCATCTCAGAGACTGAGTTTTCTATCCCTCAGCCTGAAATATCATTTCTCCAGACCTTCACAAACTGCCTCCTTCTCAGCATTCAAGTCTTAGTGAAACATCACTTCAGAGACATTCCCTGGCCATCCTAGCTAAAGCATCACTCTGAGTCACTCCTTACTATGTTCACCCTGTTTACGCTGATCTGGAATACTTATTTGTTTACATGTTTAATGTCTGTCATCTCTCACAAGTGTAAGCTCCAGGAGAGTGGTAACTTCCTGGTTTGCTGCCTTCTCCCTAGTCCTCAGAACAGTGCCTGGCATGTCTGTGAACTAGCTGTCATCTTCTTCATTCCAGTCACGGGAGAAGGGACAAAGCAAACACAGTACTTATTCTCTTGCTGTCTGAGGGCAGCACCTTCAAGTACACATTTTAGAATGGGCAAACCAAGCAGAAAGGATAGCTCAAGCAAGGATGTTGAGTGAAGAAAATAAACTGGATGCTGAGAAAATAGTCAGCCGTGAGCAGAAGCCCAACAATACACAGGGGAGAAACAAGATATGGTTGACAAAGCACGCTGGGGGCAGACAGACAGGAACCTTCTCTGTTCAAACCTAAATGCACCCTAAAAACCTCTTTCCCTTTTCTGACCATGGCCTTTTTTTCTAGCCTTTTCAGACTTTAGCTCTTAGGACTCAGTTCTAACATGATTCTTAGTTGTATGCATTCTCAGCTTATTAGAAAGCTACCCATGCAATTTCAATGCATCTTTTTTCAAAAACAACTATTGTTTTTTTTTTTTTTAATCCTCGCCCGAGGACATTTTTCCATTTTTTGTTCAGATAGAGCGGGAGGGAGAGAGAGGAAATGAGAGAGAGAGGAAACATCGACGTGAAGGGACACATCGAGTGGCTGCCACCCGCACGACCAACCAGGGCCGGGGACAAACTGCAGCCGAGGTACGTGCCCTTAGCGGGAACCGAACCCGGGTCTCTCTGTACCGCAGGCCGACGCTCCAACCGCTGAGCCAAACCGGCCAGGGCTCGAAAACAACTATTAAGATATAATTCACACACCTTACAATCAACTCATTTAAGTGTACAATTTAACAGTTTTTTAGTATATTCAGAGTTAAGCAACAATTACCACAATCAATTTGGGAACATTTCCAAAAGAAAACTCCATACTCATTAGCAATCATTTCCACGTTTCTCTCCAAACCCTCTGCCTCTAGAAACCACTACTCTAGACACGCCTCTTCTGTACATTTCATATAAATAGACTCATACATATGTGGTCTTTTATGACTGCTTCTTTTACTTAGCATCGTATTTTCAAGGTCCATCCATGTTATAGAAGATATCAGTACTTCATTCCTTTTATGGCCAAATTACATGGATATATCACATTTTATTTATCTATTCATCAGCTGATGGACATTCAACACTTGCTTTTAGATATTATCCCCGTGTCTTCTAAGTCAGGATCACAAATATTTTGTTAGCAATACCGATCTCTTTTCTTTCTTTTTTTTTTTTTTATCCTCACCCGAGGACATTTTTCCATTTTTTGTTCAGGTAGAGTGGGGGGGAGAGAGAGGAACAGAGAGAGAGAGAGAGAAACATCGATGTGAAAGGGACACATCGAGTGGCTGCCACCCGCACAACCGACCAGGGCCGGGGACAAACTGCAACCGAGGTACATGCCCTTAGCGGGAACCGAACCCAGGTCTCTCAGGACCACAGGCTAACACTCTAACCGCTGAGCCAAACCGGCCAGGGCTCTTTTCTTTTTTTTTCTATCCTCACCCGAGGACATTTTTCTTTTTTTGTTCTGGTAGAGTGGGAGGGAGAGACAGGAACAGAGAGAGAGAGAGAGAGAGAGAAACATCGATGTGAAAGGGACACATCGAGTGGCTGCCACCCGCACAACCCAACCAGGGCCGGGGACAAACTGCAACCGCGGTACATGCCCTTAGTGGGAACCGAACCCGGGCCTCTCGGGACCGCAGGTCGACACTCTAACCGCTGAGCCAAACTGGCCAGGGCCCCATCTCTTTTCAACTGTCTTCCCTTTTAAAATCTTGAGCCAAAGGTTTCAAACTTATTTTTTCTCTGAATAATTTGAAATTTACTCCTTTAAAATCTAAGTCACATTTCTTCAGCTACTCAAATTCCTTTTTATTCTTTTCCCAAACAGTTGAGAATTCCAGAATAAATATCTCTCCCAAATAGATAAATTAAGGCCTAAACACCATGGTTTCAGGAGAAATAACTATGCCAAAATATTTCTAGAAGACTAAAAGCCTTCTGCAATAGCTGGATCTTCCTTCTGTGATGGTTCTGAGAGCTATACCCGTATACTTATCTTTCATTTTTCAATAAATATTTTTCAAAGACTTCCATGTGACCATTGATTAGATTATCAGTTATGGACCCAAAAAAATCAATAATACATATCTTTGTCTTAACTTGACCACAATTCCATCCTTAGATTAGTAGATTACTATACACATGTGTGCAGTATAATTTTCAATATACATTTTATTTTGAGACTTTGTTCTGACTTTTCAACACAGATTCACATACTAATCCTTTATTTCTGGGTACATGTCTCACTCAAACCAATTTTGTCAGTCCCTAAATGATCCTGATTACTTCAACATATTAAAACTTCAGCCCTGGCCAGTGTGGCTCAGTTGGCTGGATGTTGTCCCGTACACTGAAGTGTTGCTGGTTCAATTCCCGGTCAGGGCATAAACCCGGGTTAGGGGCTCAATCCCAGGTAGAGGGTGTGCAGGAGGCACCAGATAGATGTTTGCCACTCACACAGGTGTGTTCTCTCTCTCTCTCTCTCTCTCTCTCTAAGAATCAATTTAAAAAAAACCTTTCAAATTACCTTCATTCCCACAGGCTATATGAGGGGAGAAAAAGGAAAATCCCAAATCCAACTCATGGAATCTGATCCTCAACGGCAACACAATGGTGCCTTTTCCTCTTCCATCTCCCCTTCACAAAGTTTCAGTCAAGCTCATCTTCTCAAGCACACTCTTGCTTCTACATCTTGGCTCACATCAATACCTGTTCTTAAAATACACTCTTCCTTCTCTTTATTCATCTAAGGCTTATCATTCCTTCATGGTCTATCTCAACTGCCACATGAAAGCACTTAGGTCAGTTCTAGGCACAAACCTCTAGCATATGACAACAGAAAGAGCAAGAGATTTGGAGTCCGTCTTCAGTTTGAAAACAAGCTCTGCGATTTACTACTTGACTACTGGGAATTCACCGAGCCTTACTAAGTTTGTTTCTTTGTAAGCAGGCAAAATAATTCAGACTATTGCAGCTTTCTTGGAAAGATTAAATGAAACAAATTGGAAACTGGAAAGCACAGCTACCAGGAGGTAATAAAAGTTAATATGCCCCAATACGTTCCCCCCGCCCAACAAGGTCTTATTTGAACACCAAGCTCAGTGATCATTCTTTCCTAATGCACAAATAATGAATCCGATCTGTCTTGAACAAAAAGCAAATGGCCAACTTCTAAGCTTTTTTAGGCTACTAGCACTATTCAGTATGATCGTGCAGAAGGTTTAATTTCATTGTATGTTGCTTGTTGACTTGTAGATATAAGCTTATATCCAAATGGAAATTACTCTAAACACAATCTCCATTTATGCTTTATCAAAGCAAGAAATCAATACCAATAAAGACCTTGCAAAGAGAAAGCCACAAAGAGAAGCTCTTCCCTTACCTTGTGGGTTATCCATTCTCGTCCATACTGATACACATTGTTAGCCGCAGAATTGAGGGCTCTTTGGACTACCTGAGCCTCAGGAAGCCAACTAATTTAAAATAAAAAAAGGAAGAAAATGAAAAAACTAGCACACTTTTAATGTATTACACCCGTAACTTTTTGAACCCTGTATTTAAACTATCAATAACTGACAAGCTGTTATCAGTCAACACAGAGATACAGATGAATGGCACACAGGAATCCTTGACTTCTAGGTCTACTTGGCCTAATTCTAATATTCGGTATGTCTTTTCAAGTTTTCCTTATCTTTTAGATCCACTTTCCCTAAAACCTCTCTGTCCTTTTGCTCTGCCGGGTTTCTCTGTCCCTCGGGTCCTGGGTCACCTGCCTTATTCCCACAGCATCTGAGGAAGTGGTTCTGGGACTGATGGTCAGCATCTGGGACAGACAGTGGTGGTTGTCAAACTGTGGTCCATGGACCTGCAGCATCAGCACTGCTGAGAAACCCGGCCCAAACCCAGACCGACTGAAAAAGAAACTGGGGCCAGAGCCCAGCAATCTGTACCGTGACAAGCCCTGAAGGGGATTCTGGTGCACACCAATATTTGAGGACCTCTGATCTAAGGAACTGAAGAAGAGAGGAATATAAGAAAATTGAGGGTGAATTACTGTTTTCAATTATCTATTCATTGAAGATCTTTTTCTTTAAGATGTGAGGAACTCCTGAGCAAAGTTCTATCTATACAAAGAATTGTGGCCCTGGCCAGTTTGGCTCAGCGGTTGGAGCGTCGGCCTGCGGTCCGGAGAGATCCGGGTTCGGTTCCCGCTAAGGGCGCGTACTTCGGTTGCAGTTTGTCCCCGGCCCTGGTTGGTCGTGCGGGTGGCAGCCACTCGATGTGTCCCTTCACGTCGATGTTTCTCACTCTCTCTCCCTTCCTCTCTCTCCCTTCCATTCTATCTGTACAAAAAATGGAAAAATATCCTCAGGTGAGGATAAAAAAAAAAAAAAAAAAGAATTGTGGTCTACAAACTTGACCCCTTGTGCAGTAGTGCAAGGTGGCCTCCCCATCGTCCTGTCAACTAAACAGGCATTTGCATTAATAATATACAACATATGCCCCGTGTTTTCCAAAGGAGAAAATATTTTCATATATACTCTTAACTGCTCCTTACAATGCTGTATACTAACAATGTTCACATTCACAAATTGGTTCAAATCTTTAATATTAACCAGTTCATCATACACTCCACATAAACAAAATATTTGTGAAGCTTTTGGCAAATTCTCAGTCAGTTCAAGTATTTCTCAGCAAGTAAGACAAAACTTTAGAGATACTTATAAGTGCAATGATCTTACAGTATAAAAATATGAACAGGAAATTTGGATCTCTAAAGAGATGTAATTTGGGGGAAATTAAGTAGCTTTTAGCTTTTAAATTACTCTAGAATTTATAGATTCAAAAGTGGTTTGAAGGGACTGCTGAATATTTTCAATTATATGGTACTACATTTTTATGGGAAAATTATATCCTGTAGGAATATTCAAAAGTGTGAGGATTTGCAAAGGCATCCGGATAGAGCCTTAATGACTAACAAACGTCTAGTGAAGCCTGATAATAAATCTGGCTGGCTCCAGTGAAAACACTCCACCAACATACTCATGCAGGTTATCTTAATAGCAACAGATAAGAGGAGCTGGCATGAGGCCAAGTCAAAGATCTTAGCTCAGTCTAGACCTCCTTGCAACAAGTGTCCTCTAGGAGACATGGGGCCAGAAACACCTGAGCAACCTTGGCTGGGACCAGCTGGGATGAGCCTTGATCAAACACCTACCACAGCCTCTGTATTGAGCTCCTTCCTTAGGATAGTCACCCTCAACCAATCACTTATTCGCCTACTCGCAGTAGAAACCAAGTTCCTATAATTTGGACTTACCTAGCCTCACCTTCCTAGATTAAAGTTAACCTCTATCACAGTATCACCTTCCAAGAGAACAGCCCCAAGAATATATAGAAGTAAAGGGAACTTCCCAACATACCATGTAGCCCCTCAAGTTTCTATATACTTTCTATTCAGTAGAAAGTAGAAAGTGGGTTCCAGACCAATAGAATTGTCCAAAACAAGAATTAAGATGTGCTCTGACTGCATTTCCTTTGAAGCTCTGCTAGGATGTCCCTGCCCTAAGTCTAACTTATCTGCCAGCTCACCAAGCACACACACAGGAAGTCAGAGCACCTACACAGGACATATAAAATGTGCACCCTATTAGAAGAAAATATATCTGATCGATTCTTAACTGTGTCCCCTCTAGAAATGTCCACAGAATTTCTCACAAAGTCAACTCCCTTCTTTAGGACAGGAATTTGCTGCACTCTTGAGACATACAAGAAACCATTACTATTTATTCATATTCATCCGCACTAATCTGCTGCAAAAAAATCAGACCTTCCATGAATTACCAAAGTCTAAACAGTTTTTTTAAACTCTTCTATATTTCAGCCAGTGTGGCTCAGTGGACTGAGCATCGTCCCGTGGACTGCGAGGTCTTGGTTCAATTCTGAGTCAGGGTACATGCCTGGGTTGCAGGCTCGATCCCCAGTAGGGGCGTTTCTCTCTCATATCAATGTTTCATTCTCTCTCTCTCCCCCTTCCTCTCTCTCTAAAAAAACAATAAAACTATACTTAAAAAAATGAATAAAATAAAATAAAAATAAATAAAACCCTCATACATGGACTGATATTTGATCAGAAACACTGGGTATGAGTACTGACTCAGCCACTGGTAGACTATTATTACAGTTCCTTAACCTTTGATCCTGTTTCCTCATCTATAAAATGGGGATAATCTCTTCAACCTACTACAGTCACTGTGAGGAAGACAAGTCACAACGTAGGTAAAGTACTCTGTAAATTATAAACACGCTGTAAACTGTAAATCTCAATTCAAATATAAAGTATTATTTACTATAAACTGTTTGCAAAATCTTAAGCACTTTCCCACCACCCCTTCTCCCATATTACATGCAATTCTTATGCAAAAATGACAGCCTTCATCAAAGCTTTGGCAAACCCTATCTTTTCTCTTCCAAGGCAGCTGCATCAATGAAGGCCACTTCAAGCAGATACCGAACCTACATCATCCAACTCTATTTTTGTCATTGTAAAAGAATATTCTTACTTTGCCCACTCAGGGTGATTTGCTAGAGTTTCATTAATCAAACTGCTTGTGACTTCTATCATGTGCACACTCTCTTGATGTACCTGCATCACAGAGAAGGAGAGAAAAGAATCTCAATAAAAAATCCAACTTAACATTTATTTCTCTGCACTAGTATTGGAGCAATATTTTAGAGTCAAATAATTATACATTTTAGTTGCAATTAATTTAGAAACCTGCACTGAACAGCTGCTATACATAATATTCTAAGACACACACTATAGGAAATAAAATGTACATAATAGGTCCCTATCTTCAAGAAGCTCAACAATTTTACTTAAGGAAAAAATACGTAAATAGACACATACAAATACACATGTACACAATAATATATAAATATATTTAGTTCACATGTGTGTATAGTGTAAGTATATGTGTATATATATATAATGTGTGTGTGTGTGTAAGCAGTATCAATACCACATGAGCTTAAAGAATTATAATGGGATGCAAGATACACAGGCAAGCATAAGCAACTGAGCAAGGTTTCTGAGTTAAAAAAAAAACCCAATTGAAACTGCTTTAAATTTACCTTGCCCAAAAATCAGCAAAATGAGGAAAATAAAAAAAGGAACAAGCCAATGTCAGAGAACAGGCTTATATGATTTTACTTCATTTAAATTTGTTAAGCATATTGAGCATATGGTTTATCCTGATGAGTATTCCATGTTTACTTCAAAATAACATGGTTCTGCTACTGTCAAGTCAAATTGAGCGTTTTTCAAGGCTTTTATATCCTTACTAATTTCCTATCTACTTATTCTCTCAATTATTGCAAGAGGAGTATTAGTAAATCCCTAACTATAATCTTTGATTTGTCTATTTCTCCTTCTAATTCTAAATATTTTGCTTCATGTATTTTAGAGCTCTACTGTTAGAATATACACATTCATAACTGTTATCTTACCGTAGTATTAACTCTTTTATCATTATGAAAAGTCTTTGTCCCTAGTAATACCTGTTTTAATTGTTGTCTGATATTAATATAATCACACCACATTTCTTATGTTTATAATTTGCATGCTATATCTTTTTAAAATCCTTTACTATCAAATCTTTTAATGTCTTTGAATTTAAAGTGTATCTCTTATAGATACCATTTAGTTGGATATCCAGTTTGAAAATCTCTACCCTTTGACTGTTTAGTTGCCTCACATTTAATAATGTATACCATTTTAGTGCCCCTAAAATTTGGGCTATTTAGTGGTTGTTATTTATCTCAAACTTGTCACACCTTTGATTTATCACAATCTACTTCAAGCTAATATTGACTTACTTCTGGTAAACTATAGGAACTTCTTACCAGTGTTGTTCATTATATTTCCATTTTTTTCTTCTTTTGTTATGGAGGGAGAGAGAGAGAGAGAGAATAGACAGACAAAAATTGGACAGTAAAAAAAATGTAGCAACTCTGGATTCTGTTTTATTCTTCCAAGGGTTGTTACTTTGTTTCAGTAAGCAGCTAACTTAACTGTACTCAAATTAAAAAAAGAGAAATGTATCTTCCCTGCCACTGATGTCTCTGCTCAGTGCTTTTTACTTATTCATTTATCAATTTATTTTAAAGCCTGTTCCCTAAGGATTTTCCCTGAACCTGCAGAGCTTAGCAGTCAGCAAATGATTTTGGCAGACATTATGCACAGACCCTTCACAGAAGAAAGCTTCCTCCTCTGCAACCTGAGATGTGTGAAAGTTGAGAAATGCAATCAAAGGCACAAATTTGCAAATCTCCCCAGGCTTTCAACATTCACAGATCTCCTTGGGGGGGTCTCCCATACACATACATAGTTTAACAATCAGTCTAAGACCTGTGGTTTATTAATTTCAACCCATCTATGGCTTTCCTACTTCTAGAATCTCCCCCTTTAATTTACGGCTGCTCTGTTGTTAGTCCCAAACCACATCCATCACTTCCCACAGGAAAAGTTGCAAGTTTTTACTGCCTAAATAGGCAGGATGAGAATAACTCCAGCAGGAAAGCCACAAACTACCTGTTTTTACCAGGCGCAGTAGCAATTTTTCATGAGCAAATACTCCAGTTGTTGCCTAATTGATCATTTTCTAATGCCCTTATATGGTGTGTTTTTTTAAAAAAAAAGTTTATACCATTTTATTCTTGCTTTCTGTGGAGAGCAATTACCTGATATACTCACTCTGCTATTACCCTATGGTATATTAGGAAGATGGATCCAAAATGGATCCTCTAAGAAACTGGATGTGGATACAAAAGAAAGTAGTCAAGGTGGGGCCTCTGGGAAGTAATTAGGTCATGATGGTGAGTCTTCATGAACAGGGTCAGAACCCTTATATGAGCACAGAAGGATGATCTTTCTCTCCACCAGGTAAGGATACAAAAAGAAGACAGATGCCTGTAAACTAGGAAGAAGACCGTCAAAAAGAACTCAACCATACTTCTGCCTCCAGAACTGTGAGAAATAAATATTGGCTGTTCAAGCCACCTAGCCTATGGTATTCCGTTACAACAATCTGAACAAATAACGGGGAGAGGAAATGTAAGCTGGAAGGGCTTGGATAGTGAGAAATAAAGATCCTGTGGTATATCAACAGAAAGACCAATGAAACAAGAAGAGAAGGAGCTAGTCAAAAAATTCTGATCTTAAACAGGGTGCTACCTAGATTAGAAGTCATAAAGCCAGATTAGACAGAGGCAGCCAATTGTTCCTCTGTATTTCAGTATTTTTCATCTGCATTTATGTCGGATTTTGATAATAACAAAATAAAAATGGGGGTAAAAAATACACTAGGCAAATTCATGGCAAAACAAGTAATACAAAAATTATAAATGTCTTAGCTGTTATACATATACAAGCAAAGTAACATTTTTCATACTGTTTCTACCAGCTTCTTATCCATACTACAATTCTAACAATTCAAGGTTTAGTAACGGTAACAAGAATTACTGTACTCTACCTTTGCAGTCAGGAGTAGGGCTAAAAGCAGGGTTCCTATCACTAACAAAAATATGATGAAAATGCTAATTATTTTGTCTAACATCTTCTCCAACCAGATGATCATCTGCACAGAGATAAAAAAGAGAATTACTTAGCTGTCAAGTACAACTCAATAAAAACACATATGCATTCCAAAAGACAAAATAGGATATTCAACACTGCAAAGCAATCTATGCAATAATGACTAAAGCAGTGAAAGCTATAAGCAACTTTATAAAACTAAGTATTAATTACTACTATTATATAAAGAATTTATTGTTGTCATATCTAAAAAAAAGTAGTCAAGCCCTGGCCAGTTTGGCTCAGTGGTTAGAATGTCGGCCTGAAGGCCAAAGGGTCTTGGGTTCAATTCTAGTCAAGTATATGTACCTGAGTTGCAGGTTCAATCATCAGTTGGGATCATAAAGAAGGCAATCAATCAATGTGTCTCTCTCTCATTGTTGTTTCTCTCTCTTTCTCTCTCTCTCTCTCTTTCTCCCCCTCCCTTTTATTCTCGCTAAAAATCAATGTAAAGTTATCTTTGTGTGAGGATTAACAAAAAATAAATTAATTAATAATAATAATAATAATAAAGCAGTCAATTTGAACCTAATCATTATGATTGAATTCTCATACTGTGGAATATTTACATTTCAAATTATAATTTATAATCCGGTAAATATTCTAAACAAAATAATGACAATTCATTAGCTGACCTCAAATTGTATGAAATTTTACTGTCAATTAGCAAACATAGATGACTTTTGTAAAAGTATGCCCTTTATAAAATAGGTATGCCCTGAATTATATATAGATAAAATCGGAGCAAATTAAAATAGGAGTTACTTTCAATATATTTCCCCTTTGATGTCATTAGGGTTACAAAATTAGTAACAATAAAAATCTAATGTTAAGGTAATGAGAAATACCAGTTTCAGAATACTAGTTACTCTGGGTAGGAAGCAGATCAGGGAGGGATACAAATGGCCTTTAATATGTAAATAATGTTTTATCAGACTAGAGGGCAGGCACATGGGTGTTCTTTACATCTGTTAATATTTAAAATAATTCATAATAAAATAATTTTAAAGTCTAATATTCTACTGGAAATTTCTATTCTTTTTAAAACATAAGCTTTTTGATAAATTATAATTGACTGCAAATAAGAAATAATCATTAATGTAGTAGTTATTCCTTAATCAATAATTAAAATTATGCTCTCCCTAAATGCTATTTGACATTCTATTCTCAGTATAACTTCTCTCCTTTTTCACAACCACAAATAACTCTACATATAAAAACAAATTTATTTTCAGAATATATCATTCTGATAGATTTGTAGAATTCCTGCCATGGAAAACTATTTAACATTTCAAATATACAACCAATTAGACTGATGACTGCTGAAACATCACACTGCACCCCTCAACCCCAATATGAGCCACAGTATTGCTGAGTAAGTTATTCTTAACTTAGCTCTCCAAACAGTGAGTTAAACATCCAAAAGCAAACAATGGTAATTGAAAAACAACAAAATTGACTTCTAAAACATTTACTTTCCACTCGAGGCTCATACTATCTCTCATGAAGGATAGTGTCATTAGGAGATCAATGTTCTAATAAACTCAGATAAAAAGTTCATCTTCTATCTTAATAATTACAGCTTCAAACAGAAGAGTTAATTTTCAGTGCATGCTACCAAAGCATTGAAGACAATGCAAAGATTAAAAAAAAAAACAGGTTTCTAAGATATGGAAGGTCAGATGTCACCTTTTGAATGCAAATTCTAAAATCAATGAAACTGAAGAGTTTCACAATCAGAAACAAATTCTACACCTAGTTCTAGAGACAACTCCTGAAGAAAGAGCTAGTGTTGTATTACTCCTCTTTGGTCTCCAAAACCTAATAGTACATGGTCCACGTATAGTACAAGCTCAGTTAATATATATCTGAATAGGCAAGCATAAATAAAATAATTTCAGATTTAAGACCAGATTTGTACTCACAAATTATAACTTTTGAAAATAACTTGGGAGCCTTAATTTTTTTTTAGAAAAGTCATATCTTAAAATGTATTTTTAAACTTAAATGATGTTTTCTTTACAAAGTATAAACATATACATTTATGTCTTGGTATTTTTAATATATAAAACATGGAATATTCACAAACATATTATGTACATCAACATTACAAAATCAAATGTTATGTTTTTTGACAAGGGTAGAGTTTTCCTATAACTAAGGGATGAAAAAAATCCACGCTAAGAGCCACCTAAATAAAAATCTGTATTAGAGGGATAACAGTAAGGGTTAGATGTCGCATTCAAAATTTAAAGTAAAATCATTTAGGATGCTCGATACATAAGCTAAAACAACTGGAGGGGTTTCTATTCACATTATGGCGGGTTAGGATTAGATTTTTTTAAGGATGAAAAGAGACAGCAAAAGAGAGACAGAAGCCCTGGCCGGGTAACTCAGTCAGTAGGAGCGTCGTCTCGTACACCAAAAGGTTGTGGGTTCAATTCCCGGTCAGGGAGGCAACCAATAGATGTTCCTCTCTCACATTTATGTTTCTCTCTCTCTCTTTTTTCACTTTCTCTAAAATCAATTTAAAACAACATTCTTAGGTGAGAATTAAAAAATAATAATAATAAAGTGAGATAGAAAAAGTCAAGAAAAGAGAAGAAATTAATGTGGGAGAAGGAGATGGTATATAGAACTGAGGACCAAAAGAGGAGAAAAGACAAAAATGGATAAAAAACTTAAATGGAGGAAAAGAATTCCCTGAAAGAGCAAATGGAACAAGACTCCCAAGTAAACAGAAACTCAGACATAGAGAAACACAGACAGAGGAAGCAATGGAGAAGGGGAAGGAGATGGAGGGGATCCTGAAGGAATGCCGGAGGTGCTGTTCCATGAGGCTGACCCTGTCCGGTGTGCTCTGCTTTGGGCAAAGGAAACCACACCACATGTCACCAATGCCTTGCTCGTGGAAATCCTACAGTCTCTAGAAATTGCCCCAGTCTTCCATGCTTTGAGAAATTATTTTAGTTTCTGAACTTTATTTTCTAAAGAAAGAGAAATTTTAAAATGACATTCTAAATGTTTCAAATGTAAAAATTTGAGATGTTGGTAAATTTACAGTTTATTTCAAGACACTCTAATTTCTAAACTCACTGGCCTTATTTATCAAGCTATTAAAAAATGTCATGCCACTACTTAGTTTTCTATTCTATCATGAATGTAGGTTATTTTGCTCTGTTTTTAAAGTAAATTCTATGAAAGTCCCAGGGTATATAATCAATATTAAGAAATAAAGCAATTAAGCCTTGAGAAACAGGTTGTAATTTAATTAACCATAAGATGTTTTCTCTCTCACCCTCACTTCTCCTCTTGGTTTCCTAATTCAGTCCACTTGAGCTTGGAATACTAAATCCCCAATGCTGCAATTCTCTGACCCTGCCTACGTGGTGCAATGAGATGACCCTGAACTTATGTGTGTTTTCCTGGAGCACACACTCTCAGATCTTCAGGCACTCACTCCAACTCTACACCAGTGCTTTATCTATGCTACAAGGAATCGGCAAGGAAAAGAAAAAAGCTACTTGATCTGTTAGGAATCTTTTAAATCTCACTCATTAGTCAGCTGTAAATTAGGCTCATAAATTAGGTAATCTACCTCATTTAGCTTTGAATCAAACTAAACCTAATGACTTTAGGTCTTCTTTCATCTCGAGGAAAATTTTGTATGTACACACACACACAAATTAGGACAATACATTAAACCACCTGCTTTGATCAAAATAAGAAAATGTGACTTACTTTTGCAGTACTATCATCAGCCAAGGATTAAACTCATTTACTTACACTAGTTTTGTAGGAAATAGAGGTGTATATAATCATACGCACGTGTGTGTGTGTATGATGGTGGTGGTGTCTATTTATATTTATACACTGTTTATTTTCAATCCAAAGTTTAAAACTTTAGGCATTGTCAGAAGTCTCCCCTTTCCTGTTTCAACAGAATGAAATCCTAATCTCTACACATAAAAGTGTCATTTTAATATATTTCCAAGAACTACCACATCTTTCTTAAAGCCTGTGACAATATTTCCACTGAAAATTTTTAGAGACTTATTGTGTTTAAACACAATACAAGTAAATGATGTCACCTCCTGCTATCTGTCCTATGGATTTAATAAAATTAAATCTAGAACTACTACCCACAGACTATATGTCAGAGGTATAGCACTTCTAACATATCTGGATCTGGATTAGCCGTTATTGAAGTTATTAAAATGTACCTTAACAATTCCAAGCCAATCATATGAATTATTTACCATAGACACAACTCTTATCATGGGAAACACATGAAATTAAATGTCACAGGCCATGACTACTGTCTTTTTAAAGTTAAAAATAAAATTTTGGAATACTAGTTTTTAAAAAAAGGACAATACATAAAATTACCAGTCTAGGGAATTTCACAAAATAGTTCACACATTTGTCTTTTTACAACTTCCTGTGTCACTCACAGAAAAATCAGCAACAGAGGATTCTCTTTCCTGTTCAGTAACTATTGCCTATGTGCTCTCACACATCAAAAAAGTCTAGAGTATCAGGCTAAGCCACAACACGGAGCTAAAAAGAAATGGAAATCACAGTGGATAAAAGGAACACAAGACAGAACTTCTTACAAACACATGAACAAGGAGATACCACCAATATCCTGAATAAAATAGCTTTGGGTTTTCAGCAAATTGTATTGGGACAGTATCAATGCTTCATGACCTTCCATAGCTTATAATTAGAACTTTAATAACAAAAACTTAGTTTGACATACGGACAGAAAGAGTGAGAACAGAGATACAGGGAGAAGTTACAGAACTGAACAGCAAAAACCAACATCCGTGTGTTCATTTACCTTCTTATTTAGCCAGTGCCAGAGCTTGAGGATGGGAGGGGAGTGGGGTGGGTAAGGTGAGAAGGAAAAGATAAGAACAGTGGAATATCATTAGAGAATGCAATAACAGTATGAAGAGAAAAGAACGGAAAGTCAGTGAGGGCATGAGGACGAAATTATCCCAGACAAAAGAAAAACTAGAAAAACAATTGTAATGCATTAACAAAGTTATAAAATCGAGTACATGTAGTATTCCTTTAAGTTATACAATGATTACAGTGATGATAATCACAAGCTTTGCTGGCAATTCAATAATTAAAAATACATAAAATAATCTGAAAGCTTGTTGCCTTAAATAGCCATACCCAATCCCAAAGACCAGAGTAATAATTAAGATCCTTTTACATATCATGCACCAAAAGGATTTTTAGTCCCTGTATAAACCAATATATGTTTCTATATTACATTTTCATTGAACTTTGTAGTTGCAGCTCTGTAGTATTAGTTATTTCACAGTTTTTAAAGAGTGAAACATTTCAGTGCTCATTGAACAGAGGACACCTGGTCAAAAGCAAGCCTATCTAAGATTCTCTACTATTTGGTGTATTTCCTTCCACCCCAATTTTTTAGGTACACATTTTTCTACAAAAAAGCAATACATTATCTTGCTTTTTTTCATGTCAATGTTACCTATCTAAACCTCATATTTAGCACCATAATACCTAATGCAACTTAGTGGACATGTAACAATCTCAAAATCATTAAACATAATATTTAGGGCATTATTAGTGCTATAAAAAGTATACAGGCTAATAAAAAGCATAATTTCATCAGTGACTATGACTGCTCTTCACAGTTTCCTTTAATGTACACTCTAAGCACATTTAGATACATACTTCAAACAATCTCCTGTAGAAGCGTCATTTCAAAAACAATCATCCAATCAATTAAAATTTAACAGAAACATGAAAAACAGATTAATTCCCCAAGGCAACAGCCCAACTATATTATTATATTAGACAGAACATAATTTTGGCATCAATTAAAATTAAACCAATATTCAGTTTGTGATAGCCATTTATTCTGATTGTTGTATATAGCAGAAAATGTTAGTTTTATCCATTTTACTATTTCTCTTCCTTAAGAAGAACAGACTGGCAAACAAATTAGAATAAAAATGACAAATCTTTACAAGGCTATCCCATAAAAAATACTTTTTAATGCCCCAGAACTTCAACTGACACAACTGTACAGTTTTCCTAAATGAAAGGTTCCAAATACAAGTACATGAAAATGCTGAAAATAGGATTTAGTCTCTATCCCTTCTGCTAGGAGAAAGACAAAGACATTAACTGAAAATGAGAGTTACACTCTTGCCTGGATGGTGTAGCTCAGTGAAGTGAGTGTCATCCCATGGATTGAGGTCCCAGTTCCACTCCAGTTCAAGGCACACGCCCAGGTTGCAGGCTCAATCCTCAGTAGGGGGCATGCAAGAGGCAGCCAATAGATGTATCTCCCTCACATTGATGTTTCTATCTCTCTATCCCTCACCCTTCTTCTCTCTCTAAAAAGAAATCAATGAAAACATTTTTTAAAAGGAGTTACATTCTTTAGCCCTGGCTGGTGTGACTCAGTGGTTAGAGTGCTGGCCCTTGCACTGAAGGATCAAGGGTTTGACTCCCAGTCAGGGTCACGTGCCTGGGTTGCAGGTTCCATCCCTGGGCACATGTGGGAAGCAACCCACCAATGTGCCTCTTTCACACTGATGTGTCTGTCTGTCTGGCTGGCTGGCTGGCTCTCCCCCTCTCTTCCATTCTCTCTAAAAATCAATGGAAAAAACATCCTCAGGCGAGGACAGGGATATGTGATAAATATGTTGAAATTTATGCAAAGTTTTAGATTCTTTCTTATTTAAAAATTTGAAAAAATTAGTAAGAACACAAACAGGCAAATTAAAAAAAAAAAAAATAGCCAATAAGCATGTAGAATGATGGTCAGCCTAATTTTTTTTTTTTATCCTCACCCGAGGACATTTTTTCTATTTTTTGTTCAGATAGAGTGTGGGAGGGAGAGAGAGAAAGAGAAACATCGACGTGAAAGGGACACGTCGAGTGGCTGCCACCCACACGACCCAACCAGGGCCAGGGACAAACTGCAACCGAGGTACATGCCCTTAGCGGGAACCGAACCAGGGTCTCTCAGGACCGCAGGCCGACGCTCTAACCTCTGAGCCAAACTGGCCATGGTCAGCTTAATTTTTATTTTTAAAATTTTCAGATTAAAACAACACTGAGATACTTCGTTTTACAAAACTAAAAAGGCCTTTTTTTTACTCTATAATACTCCTAGGCAAGAGCTCAAGGAAATACATATTCTCATATGGTGCACTGGTGGGAATTAAAATGGGCACACTTTCTGGAAGACAGACAGGCAATATGCAAGAAAATGTATCCCCTGCTAATCTTTTGACCCAAGATATTTTATTAAGCATTTAAAAGATATACTTCCTTTTTAAAAATGTTTTTATTGATATTTTTAGAGAGAGAGAGATAGAAACATCGATTAGCTGCCTTCTGCACACCCCCTACTGGGGACTGAGCCCACAACCCAGGCATGTGCCCTGACCAGGAATCGTACCAGAACCTCTCAGTCCGTGGGCCAATGCTCAATCCACTGAGCCATACCAGCCAGGCATAAAAAATGTACTTTCTCCCCCTTCATGTGATGCAGTTATTATTTTCATCTACATCTATGCTGGTTTCACCTAGCAGTATTTCTCATCCTTATAGACCTGTTAAAGGAAGTCCAGCTCACACAGCATGGCACACAGAAAGACCTTCTTGATCCAGTCTCACCTGATCCTCCAGGCCTACCTCCCTCTAGTCCCCATTTCATACATCCCAGCCGTGACCAGTTCTTGGCATTCCCTAAGAATTTACGTTGTTAAAGCTTCTATGCCTATGCACTGCTCCATCCATGTGTCGTTCTTGGTTCTTGCCATGTCTACTCCTACTTGTGCTTCAAAATTTGCCATGAGATTACCTCCTCTATCAACCTGCCCCTCTCCCATTGCCTCACCAACAGTGAGCCATTTTTTTTGCTCAGTGCTAGCACTAAATTCTGTACATACTTTTCCTCTACAAATTATAACAGTTAACACTTGTATAGAGCTGTATGTACCAAGCCCTAACAAAGAAATTATACAGGTGTTAACTCATTTAATACTTACAAACCAATCTATGAGGTACATGCTCTTACACTCACTGTATTGATCAGGAAACAAAGACACAGAAAGGTTAAGAAACTCATCCACGGTCACACAGCTAATAAGAAGCTGAATGGGGATCTGAAACCAGAATTTGGATTCAGAGCCCATCTCTTAACCACTAAGCCTCTGAATCTAACCATGGCCTCTGAATTTTAATGGACTGCTGTCTCTCCCTAAATAGAGCTTCTGCATCTCGTTTTCTGTGACTCATCTGCTTTTCCCTAGGACTTAGCACAATATCAGACATAAGGGAATTATTCCAAAACTATTCACTCAACAGAGCCATTACCTGGCTCTCTAATTTTTAGGCAAGTCACTTAACCTCTCTGGATTTCAATTTGGTCCTTATAATTATTTAAACTAAATATATTCTATCCTTATAAAACCATATTTATAAACTTTAAATTTCACCACAGAATTAGATTTCAATTCTTATAAAAACACTAAATACCATAAAATGAATTATTTCAGACAATGAAATATATAAATTCCATTAAAACAGCCCAAATCTTAAAATACAATACCTTGCTATCAACCTTCAACAAGAACTTTCCAAGCCCGACAATCGGCCAGGGTGCGAGAGCTTCCTGCCTCTCCTTCAGGAAGTGCTCTATGACCTGCCACCACACGAGGCAGCGTTTCTCCAGGAAGTCCACAACTCCAAAGTGAATAACGAGCTTTTTGAGTATCCAGACTATAAAGAAGATAAGAAATACATGGATGAACAAAACGTAGATTACAAGGTTATAACAGGAAAAGGTCCCTTAGTTTCATGTGACTTTTCTAAAACAGCAAAGCTAGTATTAAAGATCAATTTTTAAAAAGGAGAGGAGGAGGGAAGAAAGTTCAAGGTATTCCAAATTGATGGTAATGGGACAAACAACTTTTCACACAATCCCCACTTGCCCATATACGTACTACCTTCTTTGTGGAGTCTGAGCCCCTGAGGTAGTCAGGGATTATTTTATAGCCTATATAAACACAAAATACTCCGATCATGAAGATTTTAGTGACTACAATCTAGGCCGCTCATACATTACCCCTTCTGGGGCAAAGAACACTAACCCCTGACATGTCCTAATCTGCTTGGCTATTGCCAATTTTTGTTCTTTTCCTTAGATTTTTTAATGTTTTTAGTGACCAGAAAAATAAAGGTATTCCATACACATCATGATTTTATACCACCGCAGGTAGCCTTTTCATTTATGTTCCTATTTCTTTACTTGATGTTACGCTATACACCTGAATCTGTTACCAGAGTTCAGTAGAGAAGCAGACTAGATGGATACAAGCGAGCCTGTTACAAATGGCCCCTGAGGCTGAGCACTGCGCACCTTCAGTGGGGACCATTCACAGACCACGACATGAATATGCCCCTCTGCAGGTAGGCAGTGAGACAGCCCTTCCAGCAGCAGTTAAGCTTCCTGTTAAAGGCCAACTAAGAAGGTGGATGGACTAGAAGGAAGTGTTACTTACCTGTGAGGATTGCCTTAAAGTTTGGATAATTGATCCAACCACTATAATTTCCTTAACTCCAGGGATTTCTAATGCTTCATAGTTTACTACTTTGAACCATGAGCTCAGTGTTACATATCAATTCAACAATTCCTTCATTAGCATTTTTAAATCTCTAGAGAAGTCCTAGGAAAGCTCCTACAGTCTCTAGAATAAGGCCAGGTAGAAAACCTTCTGAGGGCCACTCTGTTTACAGCCTGCTCTCCAAGGGCATGTCAAATTCCTATGATGGCCTGAGGGTTAAGAAGTCACTGGGACAGCCCTGGCCAAGTGGCTCAGTTGGTTGGAGCATAATCCCATACATCAGATGGTTGTGGGTTCGATTCCTGGTGGGTTCAATCCCTGGTTGGGGCATGTATAGGAGGTAACCAATCGATGTTTCTCTCTCACATCGATGTTTTTTTTTCCCTGTCTCTCTCTCCCTCTCTCTCTCTCAAATCAATAAACATTTCCTTAGGTGAGACTAAAAAAGAAAAAAGAACTGACTAGAACAAAAGTAACTCCTGCTAATAAACTTTAAGGAAATTGGGGTTCCAAATGTACTTAAAATGAGATTAAAATATATCATCTGGCAAAACCAAAACAGTATAAAACAATCCAGAAGAGCAATTTCAACTGTCACTAAGCATCTCTATAAATTCCTTAACAGAAAGCATGGCTGTGGTATGTACCCTGTGACTTGCTGAATTACAACCGTCCTTGCTCCAACTGCCAGAAAAGCTGCTTGAGGATGCAAGAAGCAGATACAAACTTCAATCACTGTATTTCATGTTCCCTAAGGACACATACTATACAGTGTTCCAGTCATAATAAATCTTTAAAGAAATGGTGAACTATTTAATTAACCGTATACTTTAATGAGAATAATACGTTCGAAAACTAATGATCTAGAAGCCAAATGGTCCAATAAGTTTAGACCCTGGTAGAAAACAGGCTTCTAATAATTAGATTATATTGAAATTAAGAGTGAAAAACTTTGATAAAAGAGACAAGGACTAATCAAATTGAGGAAGTATCTAAATGGCAGGATCCCATAAAAGAGGACCTAATAAATCTGGCAAAGACGGACTACAATAAGAAGAAAGCCCGAACAACCAGTAAAGCATAAAAGAGTCTTTTACAATGCACCTGAGTCAGAGAAAACTCTTCCTTACTCTTGCTAGGATTAAAAGGCGCCTTTAGAGAGAATGGACATAATAGAAGTGAGCCTTAAATTACCATGGTATTCAGATACAAAGACCTAGTTTAATTTATGAAAAGCCATATAGTTCCATTTTGATATAATACATATGATATATGTACAGAGAACTTAATTTTCTGTCAAACGAACAGAAAAAAAAGCATAATTTTGCCCAGCTGGTGTGGCTCAGTGGTTGAGAATCGACCCGTGCATCAGGAGGCCACCGGTTCGATTCCTGGTCAGGGCACATGCCCAGGTTGTGGGCTTGGTTCCCAGTAGGGGGCATGCAGGAGGCAGCCAATCAATGTTTATCTGTCATTGATGTTCCTCTCTCTCTCTCTCTCTCCCTCTCCTTTCCTCTCTAAAAAAAGTTATGATTTTGCCTGTATCATAGTTCTCAAGACTCACATTTCTGTTGAATTTGAAATGCACTTCTCTAACAGCAGCTCTCAAAATTCAATCATCAACCCCAAAACCCAGATTGTTCATGTTCTCCTCCCCAGAATCATGGAAGGCTAACCAGTCAGCTCTCTATGTGGCACTGTCAGATAATGCCACACAACACTGTAAGAGGCTAGTACATTTTGAGCTTAAAAGAGAACTATTAAAGAGGAATCACGTAATACATTTAGAAAATAATGTTTATTTAAAGGCAAACATGCGATCATTTAATTTAAAAAGAGAGGAAAATTATCCCAAATATTAAAACCCAAAAGCAGAAGGAAAACATTTTCAACGATAAGATGTTAATTCTTCGTCACCTGCAATTGGCACAGGCAGCAGCTGCACAATCCACAGGTTCAACCAGAGCTGAACTGCAATGATGGCCCAGACAAGAGCCACAAAGTAGATGTCGCTGGTTTTCTTCTTCCTGAGGAACGTTCCGATTTCAGGCCTTTGCCTGCCCAGCGTGGGCGAAGGGGAGGAAGGTGAAGAAGATGAGGATGATGGGGGAGGGGGTTCCCCTTTGTCCACAGATTCTAAAGAGGGAAAGAAAAAAAATGACCCACCATCTTAGTCCATATCAGTGCACAATTATACAGAGTAACTGGTTAAGCTAACTCTATTTTAAGCCTTCAAAATGTACTAATAGTATGATTACACTGGGTTAAAAAAAATAAAATCTGTACATGTTTGCATACGCACTGCAAAATACGTGATGAATTTACAATGCCAACAATATTTAAATCTAGAGAAATTAATCAAATTTGTTGGGGGGTAGGGATGGGTACAGAAAAATTTTAGGTTTCATATTATATACTCTATACTGTTCAAGCTTTTTATGACATATATCTTTATTAATATAGACAGCATTTACACAAAGAAACTAAAGAAAAATATATAACAAAATGCTGAGAATTATAATTAGTTCATGAAAACTAGTCAAACCATATAAAGCAACAAACATTAACATATAGAATTCCGGTATTTAAAATTTTCTCTTTCAATATAACTTTACATTAGATGCATTTATATGTATACGTATCTCTGACACAATGTGGCTTTTCACTGTCATTTCACCTAAAATGGAGCGAACTGCGGATACAAAAAGAACCCAGGGCTTTGAAACATGTGTTTCTGTTAGAACGAGACATAAAACAAGATTGTGCGGGGTGAGGAATTTTCAAATAAAAGAAATCATTTTAAATTATTTCACATAAGGCACTATTACATTTTAATATAGGGTTATATTATTTCTATTTTCTAGTTTTACCAAAACATAACATACCATATATATCAGAAATTATATACTGTAACCCTTAAAGCAATATTACTTAGTATATACCATGATGTTAGAAATGAAAATCCTAAAACTTTGCCTGCTATAAATAAAAGTTAATAACAAAAGTATATCGTATTTCAGAAAGTCTAGAAAAAAGAGAAAAGAAACAAGAACATCCATAGTCCCAGCCTCCATCTGCCCCACAGTCCTTCCAATTTTACATTGTTGTATCATGTTCCACTTACCCTTGTCCACTTTCTCCCTTCACCTGAACATCAGCATCAGGAGAGCTAAGACCTTGTCTGTCCTGTTCACCCTCTACTGAATTTCTAGCACATAGAATAGTACCTGACATATAGTAGGCATTCACTGAATATTTGTTTAAAGAATGTCTTCCCTGTTATTTCAAATTTTTCATAGGCAGCTACACTTCTGAGTGCTATATCATAATTTCCTTATGTTCCTTTTAACATTAAATGTTTAGCTGTAAGTAAATTTTTACTACTGATATAACCAGTACCAGGGTAAGCCAGCCCACCTCACCAGAACTAACATTCTGCCCTGAGGTTTGGGGCTACAGCCCAAGTTAGTTATAATATGCTTCTGTTTGACTTTGCTGAGTATCTTTCTAATTTGGAAAATTCATGTTCGTGGACGTAGCAAACATTTAGAACAATAAGTCCATAACTAAAACATCATCCCCTCCCTACTTTGAAAACATGATTCAATGTGCAAGAAAAATTAGGTTGTCCTACCACCCCAAACGCCTTTTTCTTAGCCGACTCCTTCATTCCAGGCTTTTCTAAAGTAAGTTCTTCAAGAAGAGCTCACTAACAGTATTCCTAAACTCCCAGACCTCTGGCACTAATGGGCCTCTTGGCACAGGCAGGGCGGTCTTTCACATTCCTGAACTCTGTGTGAGCACAGTGTGACTTCAAAGCTGATGTAAATCTACCAGCTGGATCCCGCAGGAGCAGTGAACCCAGAACAACCAGAGGGGTCTGTTTTAAGAGAAACAGTCAATATATTAACAGTATGAGGCATGCAGAGCAAATTTTGAGAAGCAGGAAATGCTAGAGAAATGGATGACTTGAGGGTGAAAAAGTAAGGCCAAAAGGAAGATTTGGAGAAAGGGAACAACAACAAAAAGCAACATCAAAAGTTATAGCAAAATACAACAATGGCCCTAGCCAGTTTGGCTCAGCAGTTAGAGTGTTGGCCTGCTTACCAAAGGGTCATGGGTTCAATTCCTCATCAAGGGCATGTACCTAGGCTGTAGTATCAATCCCCGTGCAGGAGGTAATCAATCAATATGTCTCTCTCACATCAATGTTTTTCTCTTTCTCTCCCCCCCCCCCACTTCCCTCCCTCCATCGATTTCACTCTACCTAAAATAATCAATGGAAAAATAACCTCAGGTGAGGAGTAAAAAAAAAAATAGAACAGTGGAGAAGAATTCACAGTTGTAGAAGAAATGAAAAATTTAAAAAGAATTAAGTGGGGGGAAATATGGTCAAAAGTAAATAGGGCGCTGAAAAAAGGAAAATAATATAAAATTAAGGTGAGAAGTAACAAAAAAAAGCACTTTTTAAAAATGGATAGAATGAAGAATCAAGATAAGAAACTTAAGAAGATAAATAATTAAATGTTTGAAAAAAGTGATAATATGAGAACAAAGATGAGAGAGGGAAAAAAAGGTAAAAATAGGAATCAGAGACAAAAATGAAAACCCAGTATGTAACATTTTGTAACGCTAGTGTCTTTCTTAACTTTATATTCTATATATATTTCATTTTCCAGAATGATTTTGAAGACATTCCTTCGTAAGGTCAGTCACCTGCAGGCTGAGTTGAGGGCTGGTCTTCAGTGCTCGATTCATACCCTGTGATAGAGATAGCCAAGGTTGCCAGAGTAGAAGCAGCCATGGAGATAACTTGCCCTGGTAACTCTGCCCCTGTAAAACAATCATGCATTTAAAAATTTTTTTAAAAGCAAGTGAACAAAAAGATATAACTTGCAAACTGAAACACAGTCCTAAGTTTTCTCTAGCAATTAAACAAAATTAATGACCCACCAGACCAGTAGTTATTTGCCAAGGGAGAATGCTTAAGAATCAACAGGAGCTCAGCCAGTGTGGCATCGTCCCATGGACTGAGAAGTCCTGGTTCAATTCCCAATCAGGGTACATGTCCAGATTGCAGGCTCAATCCCCAGTAGGGGGTGTGCTGGAGGCAGCCAATAGATGTTTCTCTTTCACATTGATGTTTCTATCTCTCTCTCCCTTCATCTCTCTCTAAAAAAAAAAAAAAAAAAAAATCAGTAAAAATATTTCAGAAAAAAAAAAGAATCAACAGGAAAGTCTGCTAAAAATGCAGGTTCTTGGATTCTATTATCCACATTTGGGAACTTCATGCTGATTGATACATGTGGCAAATAGTGAATATATAAGTGTGGAGTGCCACGTTCATACTTTTTAACTTCACAGGTAAATTTTAATGCACATTTCTGTTGGAAAACACCACCACACTAAGTATGTGAGCTTCCTGAATAGACTATCTCATTCTCCTTTGTATTACTAGCTAGTAGTACAGTATGGGGCAGCCCATACTTGGGGCTCTCACTTATAACATTCAGCAAATGAATATGTAAATGTATAGGGATTATGCAAAACCATATACATCTATAAAGAACATAATTCAGCATGGGCAAAAGTCACCATCTAAAAAAATCTAAAAGAATATCATTACTGCCCTGGCCAGACTTGCTCAGTGGTTAGAGCATCAGCCCATGGACCAATGAGTTATGGGTTCGATTCCGGCCAAGGGCACGTTCCTCAGTTGTGGTTCGTTCCCAGCCCTGGTCAGGTCATGCGGGAGGCAACCAGTCAATGTGGCTCTATCACATTGATATTTCTCTCTGTCTCTCTGTCTCTGTCTCTGTCTCTCCCTCCCTCCCACTCTATCTGATGATAAATGGAAAAGTATCCTCAGGTGAGGAATAAAATTAAAAAAGAATATCATTACCCTGTTTCATGTTACATGTTCCCAGGTTAAGTTCCTAATAAGTAGTACACCAAGATTAACATATGCACTAGACTCAAAAACTTTACTGGCCAATGAGATCTGTCTGTAATTGTCAGCATTTAACCTGTTATGGCAGACAACACAGACTAGCTTGCACAATACTAGGTTCTAGCATGCTTTCCTGTACATTACAGACTGGAAAGCTACTGTATTTCTTGGACTCCCTTGCAGCTAAGTTTCCACATGTGATGCAGTTTCTACCAGACATGCACACCTGTACAAGACTTTGAAGACCAAAGCAACTCACTGTACTTTGGAAGCCACATACATGTCACAGTCAGAGGCATATGGCTTTTCTGCAGGAACTTAACAGAGGCTGCAGAGGTTCTACTGTCTGATCTCTAACTTTGTGGCAGGCAGCAGCAGTTATGGCACTTCTGCTCAGTCCTTGGGTGTCATTGAGCATTTCTCCTGGTTGCATTATTTCTGATTGTGTGGGATCCAAGCTTAATCATCTGGTCTTTCCAAAAATTCCATATGCAAAAATTCTATATGCTAATGAGTACCTCTTTCTATTTAGACTAGCTAGCATGGATTCCTTTGTCCACAACTAAGAATATTGACTGTTTCTAGTAATCAAATCATATGCCCACACTCACACAGCTGGGACCTTACTTTGGTAGGCCAATACTCAATGTGATTAGCATAGAATTCTGTCAAGCCAGTGAATTTCAGCTCCAAATGAATTACACATACCCAGCAAATTAAACCTTCACCAATACTCTTTCTCCAACTTGCTGATGTTACTAAAATACACAGTAAATATTCAGTGAATTATATCTAAATCCATGAAAACTATGCAATATCCTAGTTAATACACAAATGAGTCAGCAAGTTTTTAGAGTGCCTGCACTTCATAAAGGAATGACGAGAAGAGCACACAGAAAATCAACAAAGAGTATCTAAAAATTTTGGATGTAAGATTTGGAAACCGATCTTAATCAAATAGCCATTTTAATGACTTCTGTCTTAGGAATATCCACCTGCTCTTAAAAAATCCCAAGGGTTTGAACAGAAGAATGACAAACTAGACAGAAAAACTCTAGGACTAAAGCTCTTTGTCTAATCTAGACAAAGTCATGGTACTGTCAAAAAAATCCCAGCTAAAAATAGGCACATAGACAAAGGAACGTAATCTTGGGGCCCAAGAACTACGAACAAAAAAGGAAAGAGTATTCAAGGTTTCAAGTGTCAATCTACCCAGGGACAGGGCCAACATTCAGAAGCCCAAATAGCAGGGATGTACACAACTCCAAAGAAGCAGGCCACTGACATCAGCAGCCTAGCCCCAGGGAACAGAAATTCATACTCTGGCAAATCACATAAGAATAACAGATCACATGTTCAAATAATATCTGTTAATAAGAAGTGGGTAGGATATCATTTTTTAAAATCAGGGGGAAATATATTTTAAAACCAGTCTAAATAAGGAGACTTGATCTACTTTGTTCTCTTTCACAGGGACAGTGGCAGTTGCCAGAAATACATCCAAAGATGCTTACTGGAAGGAGGCCCTGCACACCAAGTAAACCTCCCCAGCATGCACGGCTCCCTGTGAGGGAGGCCTGCGTTTCCATTACTAATGTGGAAAATACATCTCCTTCTCCACAGCTTCTAGTATCACTTCATTGTACTACTGGTCAGTAACAAGGACGTGGATATGCACTAATAGGAGGTTCTCTAGGGCTATTTAACTAACAATGTCAGAGATGGGGTGTGGAAGATGAGCAGTAAAAAAAATCTCGTTTGGCCCTGGCTGGTTTGGCTCAGGGGTTAGAGTGTCAGCCTGCAGACTGAAGAGTCACGGATTCAATTCCAGTCAAGGGCACGTATCTCAGTTGTGGTTTGTCCCTGGCCCTGGATGGGGTCATGTGGGAGGCAGCCAGTCAATGTGTCCCTCTCACGTTGATGTTTCTCTCTCTCTCCCTCCCTTCCACTCTATCTGAAGATAAATACAAGGGGAAAAAAATATGCTCAGGTGAGGATTAAAAAAAAATCTAGTTTGGCACTGGCTGGTGTTGCTCAGTAGTTAGAGCATCAGTCCAAGGTTCAATCCCTGGCCCTGGTCAGGGTGTGTGTGGGAGGCAACCAATCAATGTGTCTGTCTCTCTCACATCAATGTTCCTCTCTCTCTCTTTCTCCCTCCCCCCTTCCACTCTCTCTAAAAATAAATGGAAAAATTATCCTTGGGTAAAGATTTTTTTTTTTAATGTTTTTAAATCTAGTTTATTCCTTTTCTTTTTCCAATTTGGGCTTAAGGACCAAACTTTTTCACTCATGTTGCATGCAATCCTAAAAACGATTAAGGCAACTACTAATCCTTCCTGTAAAGATACTTCTAGAAGGTCATTTATAAACAATTACCAAGGCTGGGTGTCCAGGCTATTAAAGACACATTTAATGTGTTTGCCTAGCTTTGAAGAAGTACTTCTCATACTCAGAGTAAATGGCTAAACCTAAGGGTCTTCATTTGTAAAATAAGTATATCAATCTCACTGTATTACTAAGAAAATTAAATGAGACAGCATATTTAAAGAGTCTAACAGGTCCTTGCCTATACTGTCGTTACTAACAATAATGCTAGTGTTCCTCTTTTCTCACAGGCTAAGGGAACACATCAAAGCTGGATTCCAGGTTTCTACCAAGTGAGACTTGGGATCCAGGAGACAGAGAAGCTAGGTCCTGCAGCTGTGGTAAGCCAACAGGACCAACGTAAAAGACTGAAGCAGCTGACAATCACAACTGAGCTCAAGAGGATCACCAGTCAGTACCTTTTCAGAATGACTGATGATTGTTCAAAGAGCCTGGTGAAGGGAAAGAACACTGGGCTTAGGGTCAAAGGCCTAGGGTCATGTCTTAGTTCCACCAGTCACCTGTGCAACTGTAAGCAAGTCAGTTACTCTCTGGAATAAAATGTCTTCATCTGCAAAATGGAGATAACATTCTAAAAGATTTTGGGGCTTGCTTTATTGGTGGGTTTAAAAAATAAAATAGTACATTTTACAGCACAGTAGATATTTAACATTATTTTCCCTACATTATCTTAGGGTTCCAGGAAATACCAAGAACTCCCAAGGTCTAAGAGAAAAACACAGAGTAAGGCCCCTGGGTTCAGAAGGAATCTCTGAAACTAACTCAGCAATGATTCACAAGAAGTTTTCTGGACATAAATAAACTCATGTCTTGAATTCTGATGAAATCCAAAGAATTAATTCTGTGAATCCAGTGAACCACAGATCATAAAAGTATTCACAGAAGCAAAAGATTCAAAGCTCAGAAGACAGAGAGAAAGATGCCTGTACAAGTGACTGGGATATAAGAGCAGGCCCTACAATGAGTGGGAGAGCGGAAATGGCAAGGCATGCATGCATGCACGGCCACGGCAGTGTACTGTCGCAGTCCTACATCCACACTACAGTGACATCTACAGGAGGGAACTGACTGTCATGAAAGGAAAAGGCTGTCCCAGCACGGACTAGATGGTTTGAGTTCTGATACCTAAAAGAAACAAGTTCTAGGGACAAGAGGAAAAAGATACTCAGAAATTAGAAAAAATGTTTGAAAGATTTATTTTATGATAAGGATTACCTAGACTAGAAGTTCATAAAAGGATCCTATTCCAAAGTTGGCTGGAATGAGAATAAACAAAACAAGAAAAGCTAACGTTTTCAATTCTGCTCACAACATTTATTCTGTGTCCCTGTGATTTCCTTCCTTGTAATAGTCTAGGATACAAATACTAGAAATCTGGCTTGCATGCCAGTGCCCCACTATCCTGGGTTTATGCCTGATAATAATAATCAAACATGGCTCAAAACTTGGTCTTAGAATTCTTGTCCTTACAGTTCTCTAGGCTGCCATCATCAGCTGACTAGAATTCATACCCAAGAGACCTGCAGTATTCATAAACTTATAATAAAGTATTTACTTAGCTCTGAACAAAGGCAGTCAAAAGGACAAAAAATGTCCTGGGGTAAGGTGTAAGCAGACCTGTCTGAATCACTATTAGGGAAAAGAAAAAAAGAAAAAAGAAAAGCGTATAAAGCTAACCAGAGGGACAAGTGGATATCATATACAGTAGTAGTTGTCAAAACAGAAAGTTTACTTCTACTGGTCAGATATACAACCACAGAATCTAGAAGACTGTGACCAGGAAGACAGGTTGAGCAAAGAAAACTTCGCAAGACAGCAAAACAGCCTAGCCAGTGTGGGTCAGTGATTGAGTGTCAACCCATGCACCAAGAGGTCGCCGGTTCGATTCTTGGTCAGGGCACATGTCTAGGTTGTGGGCCAAATCCCCAGCGGGGGCATGCAGGAGACAGCCAACTGATGTTCTCTCTCATCAATGTTCCTATCTCTCTCTCCCTCTCCCTTCCTCTCTCTCTAAAATCAATAAAGAAAAAAAAATTTTTTAAAAAGAAAGACAGCAAAACATAAGATAAACTGTTTTCCATTGTCAGAAAGATTAGTAATTAAGGTTTCTTTGTTTCAGATAGTTTAAAATTCTAAACAACTGTTTATGAATAAAAGATGTCTTACACCCTGGCTGGTTTTACTCAGCAGTTAGAGCATCAGCCCGCGGACTAAAAAGTCTTGGGTTCAATTCCGGCCAAGGGCATGAACCTCGGTTGCAGTTCTGTCCCCAGCCCTGCTTGGGGTGGTGCGGGAGGCAACTGATCAATGCGTCTCTCTCACATCAATGTCTCTGTCTCTGTCTCTCTCTGTTTCTCTCTCTCTCTCCCTCTCTCCCTCCCTTCTATTCTATCTGAAGATAAATGGAAAAATATCCTCAGGTGAGGATAAAAAAAAAAAAGATGTCTTACAATTGTCAGATGTTACTCACTCAATGAATAAAATAATAAAAAGCCACTTAATTTAAAATAACTTCTATAAGGCATTGTACAAATAAATATGCCAGAGTGTCATGTGATTAGCATAAAATGAAGATGCTAAAAATAATGTAGAAGTATATTCCACATAGAAAGGTGCTCATGACATAATTAAGTTTAAAATGTGGGTTACAAAAGAGAACGTTCACTATGGTTCAGTTTTCTTGTGTTTTAAAATGTCTGAAGGCATTAAAAACCATTAGTAAACATTTTGGTATAATCTGTAGGCAGTGGGATTTTAATCATTTTTATTTTCTTTTTGTTTCTCTATATTTTGTCACTTATTTGTGACAAATGGATACCTGATAAATTAATTTTTTTCCCTTCTACAAATCTGTTACAATTAGTAATTTGTACTTTTAGTTTATCAGAAAGCAAGGAACAAATGTCAGTCACTGTAGAAACTGTGTGCTGTTCAGATTTACTTCTCTAGACACAGCTGCGTCCACATGCTGGTCAACTAGAAGTCCAGTCTGATGACCTGAGAACCATTACTGTATCTGGCCACCACTCCCCCACTGCCCCTTACAACTCACTGGAATTCTGTCTCTTTAACAAATGTTTTGGATAAAAACTACTTACAGTCAAAAGTAATCTTTAAAAAAACATGGTGTATTCAACACTGTATTAGAAGTTTTAACCAGAGCAATCAAGCAAGAAAAAGAAATGAAAGGCATCCAAATTAGAAAGGAAAAAGTAAAACTATCTATTTGCAGATGACATGCTCTTACATACACAAAATCCCAAAAAATCTATTAAAGCTAATAAACAAATTCAGCAAAGTTGCAGGATACAAGATCAACAGGAGTAAATATTCATTGACCTTGCATTTGGCAATGAAGTGGTAGCTAGGACACCAAAAGCAACAAAATTGAAAAATTTCATATAGGTGGAAATTTAATACACTTCTGATAAATCAATGTGTCAAAGAAGAAATCAAAAGGAAAATCACATAGTATCTTGACTCAGGGAAAATGGAAACACAACATAACAAAATTTATGGTATGTAAAAGGAGTTCTAAGAGGGCAATTTATAGCAATAAATGCCTACGTTAAGAAAACAGAAAGATCTCGCCCTGGCCGGTTTGGCTCAGCGGTTAGAGCGTCGGCCTGCGGTCTGGAGAGACCCGGGTTCGGTTCCCGCTAAGGGCATGTACCTCGGTTGCAGTTTGTCCCTGGCCCTGGTTGGTCGTGCGGGTGGCAGCCACTCGATGTGTCCCTTTCACATCGATGTTTCTCTCTCTCTCTCTCTTCCTCTCTCTCCCTCCCACTCTATCTGTACAAAAAATGGAAAAATGTCCTCGGGTGAGGATTAAAAAAAAAAGAAAACAGAAAGATCTCAAATAATCTAAATGCAGTTAGTTGCTTAATGGATACAGGATTTCCTTTTGGGGTGATGAAAATATCTTGGAATGAGATAGAAGTAATGGCTGCATATACTGAGAATGTACTTAATGCTACTTTAAACTAGTTAATGGTTAATTTTATGTTCTATGAATTATACCTCAATAAAAAATGTAAATAAGGAAGGAAGGGCATGAGGTATTATCTAACAATCTAAAATATTTTCAATAAACTTACTGTTCAGGCCCTGGCCAGTTTGGCTCAGCAGTCAGAACATCGGCCTATGGACCGAAGAGTCTCGAGTTTGATTTTCTGGTCAAGGGTTCTATCCCTGGCCCTAGTCAGGGCTGTGCAGGAGGCAACCAATCAACGTGTCTCTCACACATCAACATCTCTCTCTCTCTCTCTCTCTCTCTCTTTTCATCCCTCCCTTCCATTCTATCTTAAACACAAAACAAACAAAAAACTTACTGTTCAGAAAACACCACAGGTTTTTAAGTAGATTTAAAGATGTTTCATCATAACATGTTTTTAAAATAAAGCTACCCTCCCAATATTTCTTAAGAGTAATATTATAGAATGCCCTATTTCTTACCAGAAGACTCTTTTCCATTCTGTTTTTCATAGAAGGTGCCCACAGACATCAGGAAAACAATTACCAGGAATACTGGAATTCTCCATGAGCCAGCCAGAGATGCTGCAAATTATTAAGAGTTAACATTTTTAGTGAAATAAAAACCCAGCACCTGTCTTTAAAAGAATCAGTTTAGTAGTTTGACAGAACAATTTGGCATATATGTTAACAAAATTGTTTCACAGGGAAAATTTTTTTAAATGCCTTCAGACAGATGAAACCTAAATTCTGGACTTCTCTCAGTAAGTCCATCTTGCTATCAGAGGGCCCTGGTCCAAAGCATTGGGCATGTGCCAGCCTACCTTTAACAGGCTTGGATCACCTGAGGAACCAAGTCCATTTTGAAGCACAGCCAGGGTTTAAGACTATCCTGAACTCAAAACCCCCCATTTAATCCCAGAATGACCTGCATCAAGCATAGATCCTAAGGTCATGTGGCCTGACTTGATTTCCTGAAAAATACTACTGGATGTGAACTCTCTCAAGAAAGAGGGGAATGGCCCAAAAGAGCACTGCAAAATGCTTCAATGTATCCTCTTTGGTGCATAATGCAAAAATACTAATAAGTGGCTACCCATTAGCCATCTGTAGTTCCTTGAGTTTGTAGAGCCTCCTGGACATACACCTGCCTGCCTCCCTCCTCTACCTTCCTCAGATTCAAACTGAGTCAAATCACGTATTAGGGATCTTGCTGATAAACTCTTCTAGCACTCCAAGTCAGCAAAGCTAGAGAGTAATGCTTTGCTCAACATCAGACTATACACAGAGACACATTTTCAATCAACTTTTTAAAAACATTTTTTAACAATAAGTAGCTCTAAAAACAACTTTGAATAGGCTATCTACTGTTCTTGGTTACTGAATTTTGTTTTTAAATTAGAACTAAGTGTTTCCATACTCAGACTTGGAAATTAAAGAGTCCCTGAAAAATCACTCTATACCAAACCTAGCAGCTACTCAGATAACAGTTCAGTCCCAAGTAACAGGGAATTACTTTGAGCAGCTCAGACACCGATGGTTCTGCTGCTGAGCTGCGATGTTTCTCTCTGAGGCTCCTCCCTGCTCTAAAGTCTCTCTGTGTGGTCACCAAGATCAGTTTCAACCACTCTTTCACAGGGTAGGCTTCTATTTGATAGCCTCTTCACCTCTACCTCTCCCCACCCCTGTAGCCCAGTTCCCTTCTCTTATCCAAAGCAAACACCTCTGGTTCCTCTTTCTCACACACGATTCTGAGCACCTCTTATCATACTTGACCGCTTATCTATATCCTCCATCAGTATGACACTCAGAAATGGCCACAATAGTCCAAGTGTGCTCTACTTTTCAAGATGTATTTATTTTTAAAGGACCTTTTTGAAGATGAACATCAATATAATTAAAAGATAGACATTTTAAAGCACAACATTTTCATTAAAGATTGATAAAACATTAAAGCAGAACATTTTCTAAAGATTATTTTAAATGGAATATGTAACACTACATAAAAATCGCTTTGATTTGTGCAGTCTGCCACTGCTGACCTTAAGCTAGACTTTCTTAGAAAAAGTGACCCACCTAAATGAAAAAGCAATATAATCCAGACAGGAATTGAAACTGCTCTCAAGTAGCGCTCAGTGCTTGCATTCCACTTGAACGAAACAGTCAACACATAGCCAACTACCAACGTCCAGATCTTAAATAAATAAAATATAGACACAGTTGTAAAATATATACACATAAAAATAAACATACAATTGTACAAAATGTGCAAGCATCTGTATCGCATGAGAGCCATGGTTGCAACACGGAGAAGCTGGAGGCAGGTGCTGCTCCAGGGAGCACGTGCAGGCTGTCCTCCTCTGTTTAGGTAAATCAAGTTTTGAAGTAAACAGGCATTTAAAATCCCATGTAGCAATATTAAATATTTTTAAACAAAAATACATATAGTTTTAATTTCAGATCTATTCAAGTTCAAAAACTATTGTATGCATAAAGATACTTAAGGTAAAATGTTCGATTTTTAAACCATGGACATAAAAGCTTAATCTTGTGGAATTCTTAAAGTTTTCTCTATAATGTTTAGGAAAAAAAGAAAAAGAAAAGGTTAAGATAATCAGGTGAAAAGACTCCATTACAGCCTATAAAATATGCTTCTTGCTCGGCCGGTGTGGCTCAGTGGCTTGAGCATCATCCCATAGACTGAGAGGTCCCACTTCTATTCCTGGTCGGGGCACATGCCTGGGTTGCGGACTCGATCCCCAGCAGCCGATCGATATTTCTCTCTCACATAGATGTTTCTAGCTCTCTCTCCCTTCCTCTCTCTGTTAAAAAAAATAAAATAAAAATAAAAACATATTTTTAAAAATATGGTTCTTAAAGTGAAAATAATAGTTTTTGTATTTTTTTAAATGTTTTTATTAATTAATTCTGAGAGAGAAAGAGAGAGGGAGAGACAAGCATTGATGAGAGAGAATCAACCCCTACTAGAGATCAAGCCCACAACCCGGGCATGTGCCCTGATCAGGAATCAAACCAGTCCACTCGATGCATGGCCGAGGCTCAGCGAACTGAGTCACACCAGGGCAAAAATAATTTTTTAAAAGCTAAAAGAAGGCAGACAGCTGAAGTGTGACCATGACGAAATAAGCTAGGTAACAGATGGTGAGAACCCAGTCCAAAGCTTTATGCACATTTAAAGAAGTACAGCTGAAAAAAATATTACTAGAAGAAGAAACAGCAAGACTTGAGAACAGAAGAACCAGCCAGGAAAATTCCTCAGTTTTCCCTACACTAAAACAAATTGACTCTAGCACTTAAAGAAGCATCAGCATAGCCTATGCAGAAACTCTCTAAGAAATATATATATTACATATATATATGTATATATATATATGTAATATATATATATTTCAATCCTATCCGAGGACAAGTGGGAGGGAGAGGAGGGGGGGGAGAGAGAGAGAGAGAGAGAAACATCGACGTGAAAGGGACACATCGAGTGGTTGCCACCCGCACAACCCAGCTAGGACCGGGGACAAACTGCAACTGAGGTACATGCCCTTAGCGGGAATGGAATCCGGGTCTCTCCGGACCACAGGCCGACGCTCTAACCACTGAACCAAACCGGTCAGGGCAAGAACCTCATATTTTAATAGAACACTTACGAATGATAGAAGGAATATATAATCCAGAAAATATGTGAGCACCAAGAACATATTAAAATACCCTAAACCCGCCCAGCCAGTGTGGCTCAGTGGATTGAGCGTCATCCCATGGACTGAGAGGTCCCAGTCAGATTGTTGGTCAGGGCACATGCCCAGGTTGTGGCTAGATCCCTAGAGGGGGGTGTGCGGGAGGCAGCCAATCAATGTTTCTCTCTCACATGGATGTTTCTATCTCTCTCTCCCTTCCTCCCTCTCTCTAAAAAAGCCATAAAAATATATTTAAATAAATAAATAATAATAACCTAAACCTTAGGTTTATTAAACAAAATAACTGTAAGCTGTAATTCAGAGGATAAAGAAAAAGGAGCTGAGCCCTGGCTGGTTTGGCTCAGCGGTTAGAGCGTCGGCCTGCAGTCCGGAGAGACCCGGGTTCGGTTCCCGCTGAGGGCACGTACCTCAGTTGCAGTTTGTCCCCGGCCCTGGTTGGTCGTGCGGGTGGCAGCCACTCGATGTGTCCCTTTCACATCGATGTCTCTCTCTCTCTCTGTTCCTCTCTCTCCCTCCTGCTCCATCTGAACAAGAAATGGAAAAATGTCCTCGGGTGAGGAAAAAAAAAAAAATTAAAAAAAAAAAAAAGAAAAAGAAAAAGGAGCTGATGTGATTACTAGAAAAAAACTACCTCTACTTTATTTTGGTCATATCTATCAATAAAAATAGTCTTCAGGTCTTAAAAATGTTTATAACTTCAACTTTGGAACTTTAATAAATAATGATAAATTCTATTCAAAGAAGATCATCAGAGTGTAATTTAGAATACTGAAAAACTGATAACCTAAAAGTTCAACAACGGAGAAGTGGTTAACTATGGATAATCCACCTAAGAAAATGTTATACAACCAACAAAACAGGTTTTTATAAGCAAAGGTTATATAATTAAAAATACTCCTAAGAATATTAAGGAAAAGCAAAATACAAAAATTATATGACATGACTCTCATCTACTACATAGTGAGGAAAAAGAAAGGTACTAAGAAATGAATGGTTGTTTTGGGGTGGTAAGATTTTGTTTTTCCTTTTTCTTTATTCTGTATTTTCCGAATTGTCTTTAATGAGCACTAATTCTTTTGTAATGAAAAGGATATTAAAATATTCCTCTTCAAGCAATTGTATTAGAGGCAATATTACAGAGATCTCAAGTCCCAGATATATGAGGACATGGAAATTGAGACTATAGCTGCTTCAAAATGTACAAGCTTGCAGGACCCCACAGATTTAACCCTGGGGATTCAGAGATTCTGAGCTATGGCTGTGGAGCTCAGAACAAAATGTGAGTATATTAACAGTACACCTACACAACACTTACTAAGGGCCAGGCCCTGTTTTAATGCTTTATCTACATGAAGTCACTTAATTCTCATAACCCCAGGGAATATGTATTATTATTCCCATTTTATAGATACAGAAACTGAGACTTCAGGGAAGTGACTTTCCCAAGGTCACACAGCTAAAACGGGACAGAGCAGGGATCAGAACCCAGAAATACAGTTCTGGAGTCTGCTTTCTTAACCAGGAGAAAGAAGAGTGGTGCTAAAACATAAAAAAGAGGAAAAGCACCTCCAACATTCACAAGGGAAAATAAAAAGTTGATGTTGGCAACTACAAACTGATGAAATTTTAAAAATGATCCTTAGCAAATGAATGGTCTTCAGTGGCATCTACGCAGGGGTAATCAGCCCCACCCTATTAAACATGAAGTCAGTGATTTAGATGAAAGACTAAAAGGCATATTTACCAAACTCAAAGATTACACAAAATTGGGCATAGTCAATACAAACTGAGATGACTATAATAATTCAAAAAGACATCCTGACATCAGAACGGGCTAATTCAAATAAGATTAAATTTAATAGAGAGAAATGCAAAGTTCTGCTTTTAGATTCAAAATTCAATTGTGTAAGTATAGACTGGGAAGAGGGCAGCTATTTTCTAGTTCAGTATGAGTCCGAAGTATAGCTGGTGTGAGTGCCTATTAATAAAAGTACAATAGCCATATTAAGGTAACTGATTGTTTTAATGCACTATTGAACCACATCAGAAATAAAAGTCAGACTGAAAAAGGAAATGGAAATCACAACATAGGAGACAGGATATAGCTGGGGGAGGGGGGTGCGTGTTTTAGCTTAGAAAAGAAAAGAAAATGTCAAGATTTGATAGCTATCTTTAAATAGCTGGGGAGATGTCACCTGGGGAAGGCATCCCACTTAATTTTCTGTGGTTCTGATGGCAGAAAAAAATAGGTAGGATTAGGAAGCAATACATTTCAGCTCAATATGAGGATAAATCTTTCTAACAAATATAGCAATCTAAAAATGGAATAAGCTACCACCACTAAAAGTGTCTGAGCAAGAGCTGACCACATAAGTCAGGGATGACAAAGTAGGAGAGAATGTCCCTCAATGAGAATTTGTACTAGAGGATCACAAAAGGTATAAGCTTTCAGATTTTGAGTCTATAATACTTTAAAACCAATCTCCAAGAAGTTTTTGTTTCTTATCTGTACTTAGGAATCAGTATCACTATCAGGGAGAGGAAAAAAAAACCAGACTGCATACTTCAGATTTTTTAAGGGAAACTCATGGTCCAAGGTGAAGCATGTGCTTTCACCTACTGAACCTGAAACGCACAGATAATCTCATTCCAGTTTAAAATAAACACTGAAATACACTCCTCAGTCGACTTCCGGGAATGTGGTTTACAGAAGCACTATATACCGTGGAGTCAGATATACAAATGTTCATTGTGGCAGTTTAAAATATAAAAAAATTGATAACAAGCTAAATGTCTTTATTTTTCAATCCTCACCGGAGGCTTTTTAGGGAGAGTGGAAGGGAGGGAAACAGGGAGAGAGAGAGACATTGATTGGTTGCCTCCAGAACAGGGCACAGGAGGAACCTGCAACCCAGGTAAGTGCCCTTGACCGGGAATCAAACCTGGGACCTTCCAGCACACAGGTCAACACTCTAACTGCTGAGCCACACTGACCAGGGCCTGAATGTCATTTTACAGATGACTATTTAAAAAATGGTATCTCTAAAAATAGAACTATTCAGACTTTCAATGGTGTGATGAATATCTATAATCAATGACACAGTATAAATTTATTCAAGAGCAAACTTATTATGGCGAAAATATACTCTCAAAATGTTTAAAAATATATTATTTCTGGATGGTTGGATTCCAAGGGTTAATTTGCTTTTCTTTTTTTTTTTACCTTTATTGTTGAAAATATTACAGACGTGCCTCCTATTTTTCCCCATTGACACCCTCCTCCCCGCTCCTGCCCACCCCCTTCACCCTGTGTCCATTGGTTATGCATATATGCATATAAGTTCTTTGGTTTACCTCTTCCAGCCCCCACCCCCCCACCCCCTCTAATTTACTTCTTTTTTTTTTTTTTATCCTCACCCAAGGACATTTTTTTGTTTTTTGTTCAGATAGAGTGGGAGGGAGAGCAAGGAAGAGAGAGAGA